TTTTTTGTCTTTTTCCGTGTCCGGCAACGGTTCGCAACCCTCAGTGTCGCCCCCGTACTGGACCAGGACCGGCAACGGGATCGCAACCCTCGGTGTTGCTCCCGCGCCTCGCTCAGCCAGTGAGCGGGAACCGGTCTGTATGTGGGATCTGAACCCTCGGGCGGGAGCGCTGCCGTGCTTCCTAAGTGGCGCACTATCCAGTGCGCCACCGGGCCGGCCCAAGACTGTAGAGTTTAATGATTTTTCACAATGGGGTATGTGGATAGCCACCCCCCAAATCAAGAAATAGAACATTGCCAGCTGTCCAGAAGCCCCTTCCTGCTCTGCACTAATCACTCGCTCCCCCACCAAAGGTAACCACTCTCCTGAATTTGTGGGATACACTAACATCTAGGTTTGCCTGTTTTTGAATTCATATAAATGGAAGCAGAAAATACATCATGTTTTTGTCTGGCTTCTTTGCTCAATGTTATGTTATTGAATGTCGTACATGTTGCTGCCCATAGTGCTGGCTCATTTTTGTTGCTGTTTATTTTCTATTGTATGAATATACCACAATTTATTTACTGATGGACTTCAATTATACAAAATGAGCCAACTCTATATGCACATGTACACGTGTTTTCTTCCCTCAAGTCTTGACGCGCGTGTACACGTATTTCTATAATCCATAGACCTAGGAGTAGAAGCATGGTCTTTTCAAAGTTAGCGACCTGCTTTGTTTCATTATCCAATCATGCCAGGGATTACAACTTCTTTTTTTTTTTTTTTTTTTTTTTTTGTCTTTTTGTCTTTTTTCCGTGTCCGGCAACGGATTGCAACCCTCAGTGTTGCCCCCGTACCGGACCGGGGACCGGCAACGGGATTGCAAGCCTCGGTGTTGCTCCCGCGCCTCGCTCAGCCAGTGAGCGGGAGCCGGTCTGTATGTGGGATCCGAACCCTCGGACGGGAGCGCCTCCGTGCTTCCCAAGCGGCGCACTATCCAGTGCGCCACCGGGCCGGCCCACAACTTCTAATTCTTCATGTGTTATTGTTCCTAGATTTGCTTGATCATTAGCTGTGAATATTTTGACTTTCTTTGGTTCCTCTCCCTATTGTTTTCTAAATTCCCTTGAAAACATAGCTACTGAATTGACAGAGGAATTAGAGTTGTGATCTTTTGCCAACCTTCCATTGCATTGACATTATCTCCAATGTTCATAAACACATACCCCTTTGAAGATAATGTTCTAGTGCATTGAAATTTTCCTCAAGTGGAGGAGGGCAGTGGGAGTGTTTTGGAGATACCGTAAATAGAATAGAGCATTGTTTTATAGTTGCTGAGGCAGTTCTGGTAAATAAAGGAAGCCTCTGGTATTCTTCCTCTCTTTTCCTCTCCATAGGAGATAATAAATTGAGACATTCTTACTTGATTCTTTCTGCTGTATCAAGGGATATAAATAGAGCTGTACAGCACTGTCAGCCAAAGAGTGGCTAAGCCACACCGGGGCGGCTGTGGAATTTATAAGGGTGTAGGCATGCTTTGGTTAACTTTTATCTGTGAATATCCAGCCATCTGTTTGGCATAGATTACATTCGGTATTTTTTTTCTAGAGTAGGAAGTTGACATTTTTCCTTTTATGTTTTAAACTGGCAGTCTTAAGGCAAATTTTCTGGCTGTTTTGTTATTGTCCATTTTCTTTGATTGATTTTGGCTGCCTGAGCAAGTCCCTCGGACATATAGGATCACAGAAATAAAATGGTGTTTTCAGACACATTGCTTTCAATAAACAGACATAGGTATGTGAAATTTAAAGTCTGTTGGATAGTAATTCTATAGCTTTGACTTAAGAATGTTAAGAAACCTTTAACTCAGTGGTTCGCAATCTTGCCTGCACACCTGGACTCTGAAAAATCCTGATGCCTGGGGTGCATTTAGATCATGCATCAAGATCTCAGAAGGGAAGGACCTGCAGGCAATTGAAGTGCAGTCAAGGTTGATAATTACTACTCTGCTCTAATCTAGGTGTTCTCAAAGTCCCCTGACAGCAACATGAGCCTCACGTGGGAACTTGTTAGAAAAGCAAATTCTCTGGTCCCACCTCAAACCCTTAGAGGGTGGGGCCTCCCACACTTTTGTGCGCCTCCCCCCCAGATGATTCTGATACTTACTAAAGCTTGAGAAACACTTCTCAAACTCAGTTGGTTCTCAAGTCTAGCTGCTCCTTCAAATCACCTGGGAAACTTTAAAAACATACTATGGTGAGCCCAATCTTTATTTTTAAATTATTTTTTAATGTTTTTGGTGGCTGGCCAGTATGGGGATCCAAGCCCTTGACCTTGGTGTTATCAGCATCATGCTACCAACTGAGCTAACCAGCCAGTGCTGGGCCCAATCATTAGATATTATAATTGCATTGATCTGGGATAGGGTCTGAGCATCGATGCATTTCTCAAGATCTCTGTATGATTCTATTATGCAGTTAGATTTTTGAGAACTTTGTAGAGAGTAGTTTAAAAGAGCAAGTGATAATCATCTTAAAAGAAAGAAAATAAATGGATCTGTGGCCAGAATGAAATGTGAATGCGATGGGTGTGTATTGAGGAAGTAAGTCAATGATTAATAGAAATCACGGTCATCAGTGTTTCACCTGTAACAGAGCTGGACAAACGAGTGTTTAAAAACCAGGTGTGTTTCCTTCTATGACGGTGGCAAGCTCTGGCATTGCAACCTTATATGGAAAAAGAGGCTTAGGGATTGGCAAAACTGAAATATGAGAATTAAATAGCACTTTGCCATAACATCTTTGTCAGGGATTTGGGTAGGTACTGTGACAAGTAATGAAATGCACATGCTCTTTTTCCTTCTAGGCAAGCTTGGGCTTTAGTTGGTGTCATTGATGGTGGAAGCACTTCTTGCAACGAATCTGTGAGGAATTATGAAAATCATAGCAGTGGCGGGAAGGCTCTTGCCCAAAGAGAATTTTATACCGTGGATGGTCAGAAGTTCTCTGTGACAGCTTATAGTGAGTGGATCGAAGGTAGGTAAGACATTGGTTTTGTGGCAGGTTTTTTTCTTTTGAAGTAGTATTGTATTCAAATGACAGTCTGGTTGGATTTCTCAATCAATTGAAGTTGAAACTTATAGCTTACCTACAGTACTTAATCTTTTAGAACAAAGTCCAGTTGGGGTGCCCAACTAGAACAGGTCATTCTTTAGTTCAGAAAGCAATCTCTGGGTTTGGTGTGAGGAAGTGGCGTCTAGTATGGATGAGGAAGCTGGAATCCAGCCCCAGCTTCCTGCCTCCAAGGTTACTGCTGTTTCTACCCCACTGTGATTGCCTCTGGCAAAAAGCAAATGTGGGAGAGAAGCATTTCTTAGCAGAAATTTGGTCCTGTAAGTGGAGTTCAGTGTACTGCCTCTAGTAAGATTCCAGACCTCAAGTCAAGCTTTCCTTTGTAGGAAATGTTGTGTTTATTTGCACCTTACTGATAACTACTCATTTCTGGAAGACGATATGTCAGGCTAGGGCCCCAGAGACCCTTCAAACCCATTGTACAGACTGGGTCACTAGACCCCTCAAGTGCCAGACTGGGTCACCTGACTCCTCATGTGTCTGGCTGGGTCACCAGACCCCTCACATACAGGTCCATGAATGAGGTAATTGGAAAGATCCCAGGAGCCATTGGCAGACAACACTGAGCTTAGTCTTAAGCTTCTTCAGCAGCAGTAGCAGCCTGGGGGCGGGGGACAGTGTGTGTCAGAGCCACTCATCCTTTATACTTAAGTCCAATAACCCAGGACACCTGTGTACAAGTTAGACAACCCAGGAACACCTGGGTGCACGTGCATATTTACATAAGATGCTCGGCAAGACTCTGAACCCCTGAGGGATCCTGACCATTTATCTTCACTTTCCCTACAGGGTTACATTGTAGCTATCTGTTGTAGGATATTTTTTGTGTCCCATGTTCTCAGTCATTCTTACTTTCTGGATGAGGTGAAAATTCTCTGCAGGGAGCAGGGAGAATGAACTTCCTTTTTTACTTCCAATTCAGTGGTGGTAATAGCAGATAATCTTAGGGTTTTCTTTTCAAGCCAGAATAAAGTAAGGAATTATTGAATTGTACACATTTTTCCCACAGACCCTTCAAACCTGTTGTATAGACTGGGTCACCAGACCCCTCAGATGCCTGGCTGGCTCACTAGTCCCCTCACATGTAGGTCCACGAGCTCTATAATTGGGAAAGGTCCGGGAGCCATTGGTAGATGACACGAGCTCAGTCCTCAGCTTCCTCAGTAGCAGCAGCAGCCTCCAGCAGCAGCGGCAGTGGCCTCCTGGATGGTCCTGGGGGCCCTGGCAGCAATAGCAGCTTGTAGCAACAGCCTCCAGCAGGAGCAGCCTCCCTGTGCTCCCCCAGGTTATCCCCGGGGGCAGGGGCACCATGGTTCTGAGCTACTCACCCTTTATACTTATGTCTGATAACCCAGGACACATGGGTGCGAGTCAGACAATCCCGGAACACCTGGGTGCACATGTGCTGTTATGTTAGACAATAACCAAGGAACACCTGGATGCACATGCATATTTACATCAATTGCTCGGCAAGATTCCAAACCCCCGAGGGACCCTGACCGTTTATCTTCATTTTCCCTACACCTGGCATTTTTTTTTAAAAACAAACAAATTCTAATGACCTTTTAGGTCAAAACTTATCTAGTAGTCTTTTTAAAAAGCCTTAATGGAATTTTATGTAAGAAATGGATGTTTCTGAATTGTCCTTTTTTAGGGGAGTTTTTTTTTTGTTTTTTTTTTTGGTAAAAATCTGAAATTTTGGGTAGTGATTGTTGCTGCCATGAGGTTTTTGATTATCTTTATTCTTAAGTCATCTGTTTTGATTCTTGGGAAGGCAGGATAATAAAGAGGTTGAGAAATTGGGCTCTGGAATTAGATTAGCATTCAGTCCGGACTCTAGCATTTTTTAGCTGACCTTTGGTTTTTTCACCTCTAATGAATGTAATAGTGACTATCTCTCACGGTTGTTTTGATGAAAGGTTATTATGCATGTGGGGTTCCAACAACTGTTAGCTATTGTTGTAATTGTTAGAGTTATTATTATTAATATTATTATTTGGATAAAATTCCATTATAGGTTTTAGTATCTAGATGCAAGAAACATATCAATAAAACGCTTTAGATTTATTAGGTACTTTTTTGTGTATGATTTGTAGAAACAGACAAGCAGGGTAGATCAGAGTCTAAAAAGATTCAAGACTTGCCCATGTTAGGTTTTATCTGAATAGCTGGCTCGAGACTGTAAGGATATCTGTATTATTCCTTGTTTCTTGCCTGAATTTCTCTCCTTCTGAGTCTCCTGACTTAAGTAAATGCGTTCTTTTGCTCATATCATTGTCCCTTAGAGTTAGCATTGTAAAGTAGCCCCAGAGCATCATGCTATTCGTTAGAAAGACAGATATTTATTAAACAGATAGCTTTTCTCTTCTTGTATTGGCGGCTGGCCGTATGGGGATCTGAACCCTTGACCTTGGTGTTATAAACGCTGCTCTAACCACCTGAGCTAACCAGCCAACCCCAGACAGCTTTGAAATGTGGTATTTTTATTCTCCATCAGTATTATGAAGTAGCTTCCATCCATTCCGTACATATTTCCATTAAACCAGTTTTTGGCTTATGACAGATTGTGCCGTGGGTGTTCTAGAAGCAGGAAACACTTCCACCCTGGATTGCATGTAAAAGAAGAATGAGTAATGGAGAAGCTGGATCAGCTTTTCGGTTTTTGTCTGCCGAATTGGGAATCAATTTAGAGTTTGAAAGGAGATATGAGGAGAGATCAGTAATTAGTAGTCACTAGATTGCATAATGTACATCATCTCAGGAAAGGAGCTGAGTTAGACAGGGGCACCATCATGTGACCTCAGGTCACATTGCAGGTCACAGTCATCCATTCAGCCGACATCTGTGGATTTGTACTATGAATGAGACAGACGAGTGGATGCATAAATGGGTGTGCTCTGCTGCCTTTGCTGATGTGACTTCCAGGGAGGTGAGCTGTCCTCCCATTGGAAAGGAATGAACGGTAGCAGAGAGACTACCATGACAATACCAGAGAGAGGTTGCTTCCAGCAAGCAAGTTTAGGAAGTCTTCAAAGATTGGCCTGAACTTTGTAGAAAGATGGACAGTATCTTGGTTGGTGAATAGTAGTGGAAAGACATTTTAGGTAAAGAATGAATCGTGAGCAAAGGCACAAAAATGAGGGATTTTCTGAGGCCAACTTTTGTTCTGAATATTAAGATTATATGTACATTAAAGTCCTGTCTGTTATCTTTTGCTTGGATCAAATTGAACTGTTGGGTATTTATTACAGATCTATCCTGTTCTTGGCAACTTCTATCCAAATATGATACGTTCTTGCTATATATTAAGATGGTTTGAGGGCAGTACTGTAGTTTTAGCACTGAGTTGAAATACAATAAGAGATTTGGGATCAAGAGCCTTCTTCAAAATTATAAAACAGTAGTTTATTAAAGTGATGTCTTTTATACCATCATGGCTAGGAGTGCATGGGGCTTTCTCCCCTGGAGGGCAGGGTTCTATATTTTTATATTTTTTTATCATTCATATCTGCAGAGTGACTGGGACATGGTTAGCATTAGTAAAAATTCGCTGAATGGTGTTTATCTTAAATTTTGATTTGTGAATCAGCAAGAGGGTTGATTTAGAAAAAAAGTCTGTTAATGCATTGCTTTCTTGTTTTTTTTGGTTTAGGTGTTTCTCTTTCAGGTTTCCAGGTAGAGGTTGTAGATGGAGTGAAACTTCATCTGCTGGATGACGTTAGCGGCTGGAAACCTGGAGACCAGATTGTGGTTGCAAGCACAGACTATTCTATGTACCAAGCAGAAGAGTTCACTCTTCTCCCCTGTCCTGAATGCAGCCGTTTTCAGGTCAAAGTCAAAGGTATCAGACTACTCAGAGTATTTCTTGGGAAACACTCTTTTCTTGGGATTTGTTTCCTGGAATCTTTTTTTCCTTCCAATCATCATCATCTCCATCATCAATGTCAAAGGTCTTCGTAGTGCAGTGCATTGAACACTAGACCCCAGAGGATGTTAGATAAAAGTAGTTATCGAGCAATATTCTTGCTGTAATGATTCGTAGCAAGCAAACCATTGTTTCTGTGCCTTGGTATTTTTGTAAAAAAAAAAAAAAAAAAAAAAAAGATGTGGACAAGATAAATTGATTTTTCAGAGTCCAGTTTCTTCCTTATTAATTTTCCACTATCAAAAGATAGTAAACTCAACTATCAATTAGATCCATTTTTTAGTAGAAGTCTTTCTTAATTTAAAAAAAAAAAAGGTTTTTGATTGCCTTATTTGCATGACAAAAAGTAGATCTCACTAATAGTTAAGGAACCAAGTAGGTGTTTTCATAAGACTGTATTTCCTACCATAATCTTGAATAATACATTTTTTGATGGAGAATAATACACAAAGGGATTGTTACCATAAGCTGTGTATAGAAAGAATGGCTGACATTTACCAGGTACTTACTCTGAGCCTGGTATGAGGCAGAACCTCTTTGTACGTAGCTTCATTTATGAGATTCATTGTTCATTTCACTCATTATATTGCTTTTCTTGCTTCTTTATCAAGATTATACATTTGTGGTAAAAAACAAAAGATTTTACAGTAACTGTTCAATAAGTGCTCTGTTTTTCGGTAATTTAGAGTAATGGGTAATTTAGAGCTTTGAAGTTTAAGAAAAAATTTTCTGCTTTGAAAAAAAAAATAGGGTGATTGGCTCACTTGGCACTTTTCTCCTTTTTCTCTGTTTCATTCAGTGTTGTACTTTTCCTTTTTCATAACATGGTATAAGCGAATACAAACCAGAAAACAAAAAAATACCACCACTACAACAAAAATAGGGTACCATCTGGTATTATTTTTTTTTGGAAATTCCCACGCTTGTTAACAAGTGTACGTGATAATGAATCTCCATGAGCTCAATTCCCATGATTTATTTGTATTTTTCCTTCCTGAGTTAATAACATCAGAGAGAAGCTCATCATTAAAGTACTTCTAAACTTACAGCAGGGTGGGAATTTAAAAGAATGCCTAACATTAAAATAAAAAGTGGGAAAGAAAATATAATTTCTGTATTGGTAATGTCCAAATGCAGGTTACTTTGGCTTTGAAGTAGAAGCACAAACGATGTGACACCCTAACTTCAACATCTGCAAAACCATTTGTTTTCATGACTCACCGTGCATTTGGTGGTTCTTATGCCCTCAGGGGGGCAGAACAAGAGCATATGGACAGGAACTAGAGAGAAAGATGATAGTCAATAGATTCCAGATTATTAGTGTTGTTCAAGGAAGGGTTGAGTTCCTTTGGGGGTAGCAAGCCCTGTGTCCTGCATGGGTTCCAGAATTGGAGGGAAAATTGGTAGTGAAGGGTCAGGCACTGGGTGGGTGGGTGTACTAGATTATCTTTAAAATCCCTGCATCCTGGGGTTGTTTGACTCTAAGGTATTAAAAAAGGGGAGCAAACATACCTTATTGACAATGTCTTGGGGTTATAAAGAGGAATGTCTTTTTGAAATAAGTTTCATATTTTCTTTGTTCTAATATTCTTTTTCCCAACCAGAAACCCCTCAGTTCCTGCACATGGGTGAGATCATAGATGGTGTGGACATGAGAGCAGAGGTTGGAATTCTCACCCGGAATGTTGTGATCCAAGGAGAAATGGAAGACTCGTGCTATGCAGAAAATCAGTGCCAATTCTTTGATTATGATACCTTTGGAGGACATGTCATGGTAGGCAAAAGGATTGGATGATTTATTTGAAATCCTGGTTGCTAAATATATGTTTGAAGAAACTTTCCAGTTTTAGAATAAGACATATATGGATATTAAAAAGAAATATTTTATTTCTCTTTCAAATGATAAGGAAGAGGTTTTAGATAATTAAAAGAGAACATTGTACTTTCATTTAATTGACCTGGACCTGTAGTTCAACCATTTAAGAATTGTTCAATGAAGAATTAAATCAATGTAATTGGAAGAAGCAATTATACAGAGACAAAGCAATGAATGTTCTTGATATCCATGCATGTAATTTCTGAAAGAATCAATTGTTTCTTTTAAAAAGGTGATACTAATAAAGGATAAGCATAGTAGTATGCACATACGAAGTATGTTTCTATAAAAATATTTTTTATGCAGATTTTTATTCTGTAAAAATATAAAGCACTTACTATATGGTAGGCAGTATTTTTGATACTAATCTATTGGACTTCTGGGCTGCATTTTTGGCTACATGTGTTTTAAAGTCACTTTCTGTACATTGAGTAGGCTGTGGTTTCTAGCAGCATTTCCGTTACACTGATTTCCAAAATGTTGATCAGTGTTATTCCTTGGTTCTTAGTAATCCTGGTATTATTGAAAATCCAGTGTTTAAAAATATTGAGAGTGAAAATAAAAAAAAAGTCTGTTAAGTTGGTAAAACTGCAGTGTTATAATACCAAGGTCATAAGGGGTTCAGATCCCTGTACTGGCCAGTTGCCAAAAAAATAAAAAAAGAAAAAATAAAGGTTTTAATATATATTCTCCTTCAGATATTTTTTATTAAAACAATATTTTTTGCTACTTTCCTGGTCTGAAAAGTATCAGATTGATTTCATTTACCTTGTCTCATAGATAAAGAAAAATTTTACTTCAGTCCATCTTTCTTACGTGGAATTGAGGCGCATGGGTCAGCAGCACCTGGGACGGTATCCTGTTCATTTTCACCTGTGTGGAGACGTGGATTATAAAGGAGGGTACAGACATGCGACATTTGTGGATGGCCTGTCTATTCATCACAGCTTCTCGAGATGCATCACTGTGCATGGAACCAATGGCTTGCTGGTAAGTAGCCTCACATTATGTGCATGAGCATTACTGAAACAGTTAATCCTCATGACTTCTCAGTTATATATAAGTAAGCTGTTTGACCACATGCCTTACTCTATCCTGTTTTTACTGAGAATTCTGCTATTTTTCTGTCTGAAGGAAGCCTACATTTTTAACTACTCAGATTGTCCTGTTTAGAGATCAATAAAACCTGTCATTTGACGTTGTCCATTCTGCTAAGATTAAAACTCTTTTTGTATTTGTACTGAGCATGTGCTGCTCAGCTGGAGAACACTTGTCACTTAACTCACAATCAATCTTGTTACTAATGACATGATACACTTGTATTTCTGCAGATAAAAGACACCATTGGGTTTGACACACTAGGTCATTGTTTCTTTTTGGAAGATGGTGTTGAACAGAGAAATACTTTGTTCCACAATCTGGGACTCCTCACCAAGCCGGGCACACTCCTCCCCACTGATAGGAACAACTCCATGTGTACCACCATTCGAGATAAAGTGTTTGGAAATTATGTCCCTGTGCCTGCCACTGACTGCATGTGAGTAACTGGCAGAGAGAAAAAATTCATGTGTGATAGTCAAGGCCTTTGACTTTTGGCAAAGATGTTTTGGGGGAAGTTTTTAGTAGGCAGGATTTTTCATGAAGAATGTTTAAATCACCTTCAAAAATGCCTTGCAGGGCTGTTTCAACTTTCTGGATCGCTCATCCCAACAATAATCTGATTAATAATGCAGCTGCAGGCTCACAGGTAAATAATATTAAAGTGTTTTCAGATGTTTTATATTGTTCATGTTTATAAATTTCTTGGTTTATATGGATGTAATGTCACGTGTGCTAAAATAACCCAAGCATGACATTTCCTAGTACTGTTTGTTTAATAGACAGCAGATATGGTTGAGATCGTCCTTCTGTTTCTTCCAAATCCTTTGTGCTGCTTAGTATCTGTGAGTATAGTAAGACAGATGCCAAAGGGGTGAAAGGAGCTGGGCTAATCTCTATGTTATGTCATCTCCAGAGTGTATTTTTAGTGCATTATGTGCAATCGTTTTGGCTTCTCATATTTAAGTCACATGTGGCCAAGTAACTGATCATTTCAGTTTCTAGTGTTGATGAACAAAGAAAGCTTTAACTTTTTTTTATGGGAATGGATTATTCTGTAGAAGACTGTGACAGTTGTCACTCTGGTAAAGGGGCACATCTTTGTGTTATATACACTTGGGGATTTTATCTCCATAGTAAAACAGCTGAACTCAACTAATGTGCCTTGAATTAACAATGTGCCTTGAATTGAAACACACACACACACACACACACACACACACACACACACACACACACACACACGAGAATAATTTTTAAGAGAATAAGTGAAACATTTTTGGATGGTAGGAATGTCTCCCAAATAAACTGGGAGAAATTTACATTTATAATTCAGTCTGATTTAATGATTTTATTTATAATGTAAATAAATCTTTTAAGACATTCTACCATTGAGATTGTAACAGTGCCGAAAACTACAGTATAGAAATATGACCTTGGCAGCAATACCGAAATATTCATATTTGTACATCATGACTATTTAAAATTTTAAGAAGGAAAGAAATATGTAGCATTGTTTCCTAGAATGAATGAAAAGATTAGTTGAAGGGTTATTTTTTTGAGATAAAAAGAATGCAGGCATCACTGGGTGATGGTCGAACTCACATCTGTAATTTTTCTTAAAAACATAAAACATAACCTGAAGGTTCCTGTCAGTTGAAGATTCTTATTTGACGGGGAGAGGACAGGACATTTGATCATTTCAAGTTTTTATTCATTCATTTTCCATCAGATAATTTTGGGGCCTGTATGGGGTCTGTGCTGAGCATTTCTAATTGGAAAGTGAGTTTTTGAGTAAAGATGACCAAGAGATTGATAAGGAGCCTTACCCGGTATCATCTTCTGATCTATGTTACAAGTCAACAGCCAGAGCAAAGATTCCTTTCAGCTCTTTTCAGAAGTCAGGGGTTGAAGACTAAAGCAAATTGCATATAGTCTATGGAAAATGCAAGGTGAGGTTGCCAGATACCCTTACTGGGGCTCATGTGAGAAAAGAAGAAAGCATTTCATGTGTGTTCTTCATTTTCATCCTGTGAGTTATTTCTTTCTTTTCTCTGTAGAGAAACTGTTCATGTAAGGCTAATGTTGGCAGGGCTTTTCCTCCCCAAGTAAATCAAACTGTTTCTTCATTGTACCTTTCCACTGCCTTTCACAAAGCTCCCTTTACCTGTTTTGACACCACAGTGTTTGTTTAACAGGAAATGCTACCTTCTTCCCTTCCCCCCAGCCCCATCCCCGAACTCAGTCCCAACCTGGGAGGGACCATTCTGCCCACAGCTTACAGGGATGTGGTATTCAGCCTTCTCGCTAGATCTTCAGTCTTCTTCCATTGAGTCGTCTGTTTTGTGCCGAAAAGCATTGAGGTGGCAAACATTTTTCAGAGTCGTTTGTTTTGTTAAGACCCATTTGTAAACTGTTTTTTTGTTTGTTTGTTCGGATGCTGGCCAGTATGGGGATCCGAACCCTTGACCTTGGTGTTATAACATCACGCTCTGACCAGCTGAGCTAACTGGCCAGCCCTCATTTGTAAACTTCCATCCAGGAAAAATGTTATATATTGTATTCATTTTAATATGTACTATGTATGCTTTCCATAATTCACCTCTCCCCTATGCTCCCAAAGGACTTTATTTGTTACAACCAATATAGTACTTATTACATATGTTATGTTGTTTAAGAATAGTCTATTGTACACCTGTACATAGAGGGCACCAAATAAATGTGTGCTGAATTTGGATTAATATCATCTTTTTACACTTAATTTAAGGTTTTAACAAGATGTTTAATCAAAGTTCCATAACGTGAAGTTGTCCGTCACATTGGGCTGATTTCTAATTCAGTTATAAAATTTAAAGAAAGGTCACAGGAATTAAGAACATTTATTTTCATTTTCATGTCTTCTTTTGAATGTCAAAAATTTTTAAACTGTTCTGCTTCTGTTATGGTGAGTAATACTGAAATTGAACAGACAGGGTTCAGACTGAGACAGCATCCTGATTCATACATGTGGTGGTTTTTTTTCTTTGGCAAAACTTGCCTCAGGACAGGAAGGGCATTCGAGTTGTTTGAAAGAAGTCAGTGAACTCTGCATGTCAGCAGACTGTTGTTTAATAGGCATGACTCATCTATTGATCAGATTTGGAGGTAAACAGAAAAAACCATGTTGCTTAAAGGCTGTGCTGTCCTGGTCACATGGAAAGAAAACTTATTTGGTTCTAGTTATGCATAACTTAAGTAGATAGTGATGGGAAAGTTGTTTTAAAAGTAAATTTTGGTATCAGCCAATTGTTTTTATCTTTTGTCTAACCCTGCAAGCAAAATTAAATTCGCTTTAAAAATGCATGATATAACTGTCTTGAGGGTGATAGATGTATGCACAACTTTTTATAGTCAACTCTGAACCTGAAACAATGAAATTTAGTGTTATAAAGATTAAACTTGCTTGTAAAGCTGTTAGTTTATGAGGATGTATCATAGACCAGCTTTATTAAATAAAGCTTTTAATGATCTTGCCCTTTCAATTGTAGGATGCTGGAATATGGTATTTATTCCACAAGGAACCTACTGGGGAATCCAGTGGATTGCAGTTCTTAGCAAAACCAGAACTGACTCCATTGGGTATATTTTATAACAACAGGGTCCATTCAAGTTTTAAGGTAGGTTCCTAAGGTTTACCGATTAGTACATATGACTTACAGGGTAAAGGCTGGACTACTGTGATTACGTCTTAGTCCATTTTGTGCTGCTATAACAGAATACCACAGACTGGGTAACTTATAGTGAACAGAAATTTATTTGGCTCTCCATTCTGGAGGCTGGGAAATTCAAGATTGAGGGGCCAGCATCTGTTGAGGGCCTTCATGCTGTGTTGTCCCATGGAGGAAGGGCAAAAGTAGAGTGAGAAAGAGCAAGAGGTAGGACTTGCAGCCTCAAGCCCTTTTGTAATTGGCATTAATCCATTCATGGGACTGGAGCCCTCATGACCCAGACACCTTCTATGAGGCCCCACCTCCCAACACTGTTGCACTGGGGATTAAGTTTCCAACACACACATTCAAACCATAGTGGATTACAATGTCAGATTTTGGAGAAATGTCAGATTTTGGTAGAACTTGTCATCAGAGAAAGTAATTTGTGATTTAAAAAAGCAGACACTCAGCCCTTTCACTTTCAGGTTATACGAGTTATGTACAGCATTCCATGTATACACACATAGGTGTGCAGAACACCCATGTATGTGTAATCTGAATAGTAATGTAATGAACTTGATCCATGTCCACATCTTCTCTCTCATTCCTTCCCTACCTCCCTCTCTCTCACCTTCTTTCCAGACTTTTAATATTGCATGTTTCTAGGGTGCATGCGTTAGATAATATGCTTCTGGGGGTTAATAAGCATACTTCCTCTCCTCTCTTTATTCACAGCGGCTGGTAGAGTGTCCTATTGGGCATTTAGTATTAATTATGCAAATAATGAAATACTGTTTAAGAATATTTGACCTAATTTAAAGTGATACAGATCAAGAAACCTAAAGGCCATTTAGGTGCTCCAATTTCCATGATATTTGGCACTCATCCCCTATGTCCCTGGTGATAATATACTTGGTTCATTTTCTGCTCACAGGACACTGTAATATTTTCACTGTGCATGTAATACCCAGATCTTTTAGCCTGATGTGACCCGCATCAAAGTTTCATTAATACTTATGATGCTCAGAGGATCCTTTAAAAATCTAAGTGTGCTATAATTTTTTTTTTTTTGGCAGCAGGCTGGTACTGGGATATGAGCTCTTGACCTTGTTGTTTCAAGGCAGTGCTCTAACCAACTGAGCTAATCAGCCAGCCCAGTGTCTTATAATTTGAAGAGCTTACAATCACTCGATAAAGACTTGAGAGAGGAAAAACCTTTACACAGGACTATGATTTTGTGAGCTGAATAGTTGACGAAGGCTAGTAATTATTGAAAGTAGCATTTCAAAGTAGAAATCCTCAAATTTTAAAAATTGTAAGTGGGATAAAAAACACCTCATTCTAGTTAATTTTTTAATATCATATATCATGATGACATGTAGCAATCTTTATTATTAAATAAGAGTATTGAATCTAGATAATATGAGTAGATGATCAGGTCCTAATTTGTTAAATCTGGGAATTACTTTCTGGGATAATACTTTATAGTGAAAGGAAAATTGAACCCTTGGAGTCCTCAAAAAGAAACCCGTCATCTTTGGATCACTCCTAAATACACACACAGACACATGCACACACGTCCAACCCCTGTGGCTTTGATTGTGTTGCCTCTTGAATCTGTATCTAGTTCAGATTAGTCATGTTGATCTGACTGCCTACTGAATACCATTTGAATGTCTCATGGGCACATAAATATAACATATCCAGAACTAAAATCCTTATTTTTAGGTCCAGACCTATTCCCGTACTCATATGTCTATTTCAGTGAATAAAGCCACTAGTCACCTAATTGCCCAAAACAGAAATATATAAATTTCTATTACTGTCTTTTCCTCAAAACCAGACCTTTTATCAATTGCTCAATCAAATCAATTTTACCTAATAAAGAATTCTCACTCTCATTTCCTTTGTTACTACTGCTGCAAGTCAGGATCATTTTAATTTCTTGCTGAAATCATCTACATTTCTTCTCTCTCTCTCTCTCTCTCTCTCTCTCTCTCTCGTGCCCCTTTCAATTCATTATCCATCTTGTAACTCAGAGTTGTTTCCCTTAAAATGTAGTTGGTTGCGATGCCTTTATTAAATCCCTGTTTTCTTGACTCATACAGCATATCAGCTCTGTGATCTGGCGTTTGCACCTCTTTATCCTTCCTTAACTTTCCTCCCTCTGTACATTCTTGTTAGTCCTACTATGGTTTTCTCTTTTTTTCCTCAGATGTTCCATGCTCTCTCTCATCTCCAGACTTTTGTATGAACTCTTCCCTTGGCTAGTTCTCCCTGTGGGTTCTTCAGCTGACTCCTGCTCAACCTCTGCCTGGCGCCCCGACCCTTTTATTCTTTTGCTTGGTTAATTCCTCCTCATCCTTCAGGTTTCAGCAGATCACGTCTTTTAGGAGACATTTCCCGAATCTTCTCACTCCCACCCACAAAGGAAGGTCTCATCTAAGTGCCTTTCCTTGCTGCCAGCATCATCTACTTCCATATGCTTCTCAAATTTGGTTTAACTGTTTAGTTAATTGTATGTCTTCCTGCTGGTTTTGGTGTCAGTAACAGCAAGGATCATATTTTTATTGTTAATGTATAATGCTTGGAAGGATAAATGCAAATAAGTATTTGTTGAATGACTGAATGTGTAAAATTATAAAAATATCCAGGAAAGTGGCTGTTTTATACAATGACTTTGCTTTGCTGTTCATTCCCCTCTTCTGTTTTTGGTAGAAGTGATAAGCCTAAACTTATTTTCGTAAATCATAAATATAGAGGTAACTTGGGATTTGTATCCATTTTTTATTTTTTTCAGGCTGGCTTATTTATTGACAAAGGCGTCAAAACAACCAACTCTAGTGCTGCTGACCCAAGGGAATACCTCTGTTTGGATAACAGTGCACGGTAGAGCTGTTTCTTTCAAATCACACTCAAGTCATACCTTTCCAAAGCCAAACTTTCTGAGTAAAGCACACTGTGCTCTTTTCTCCATTAACACACTTAAAATGAAATTTTAGAAGTTTGCAGAAGGGTTTTAGAAAAACACTTATTCTGCTGTTCCTGGTCACATGGCTGAGCTTTTTATCTTACTGAAATGGCAAAGAAGTTGATGCTTTTCTCCTTTTTCACAGTTACAAATTGATGTTAGAAAGGACTGCAGAAAGAGAAAGAAAGAACAGAGATTTGTTGAAAAAGGTTCCAAATGTGGTGTAAAATAGAGTATGATTCATTGAAAACAAGTTAAACTAAGATGGTTTATTCTATTTCCTGAAAACGAAAGCATATAGAACTTATTCTTAGTGGTCAAAATGGAACATTGCATTGAATCTATCTCAGAGGGAAAGGTCCCAAATTTGATGACCAGGCTGGTTCTGGTTCAGGTGTTTGTAGCCTCAGATTCACATCATAGCCAGACTTTGTTATTCTCTCTCTCTCTCTCTTTTTTTTTTTTTGGTGGCTGGCCAGTATAGGGATTGAACCCTGGACTGTGGTGTTATCAGCATCACATTTTAACCAACTGAGCTAACCAGCCAACCCCTGTTACTCTCCTTTATGACCACAAAATATGGTTGGGAAATGGATCAGCATTTTAGCAAAGTTCTCTTATGGGTTGTACGTGAGCCAAAATAAATAAAATGTCTCAGATGGAAATAAAATTTTCTGGAAAAGAGCAATTTAAAGTCATATTCGGTAGAAACCATGTGCATATTATTTTTCTATACTTCAAGTTGGTTCACCATTTTATGGAGTTGAAAGGGTGCTAGATTTGATAGGCTCTGTTGATAGACAAGAAAAAAACTACAAGCTTGATTGCTCATAATGGAATGGGGTAGTAGCCGCACTGTTGGTTGGTGAGCCTAAGTTAAGTGCGAGGCAGGATCTCTGTGATGCATTACTAAGGCATGAGGTCAGGAGAAAACTGGAAAAGTATAGTTGGTAAAATTACTCATCAGGATGCCTAAAAGGTCAAGTTGAGCCTGAAATATTTTAAAGCAATCTCAAATGATCTCAGTTGGCATTTGAGAAGTCCAGAAACTGTAGGCCTTATTAAGTAAAACACAAGGTCCTGAGTACCTAATAGCTGATCAACATATGAAATGTAAAAATAGAAGAGATAAACTTAAGAAGAAAAAGGAATGTATATAGATGACAGCAAATTATGAACAAAGAAGAGAATATTAGCTGACAAAATGAAAAAATCTATGTTAGAAGGTTGCTGATGCCTTTTTAGTTTAAAGAAGTAGAATAAGTAATGTGTACTTTGCTAAGTTATTGTTGCCAGAAAAATCCTTAAACACACACAATTGGCTCTTTTCCCTGTGTATGTGTGTGTATATGAATAGATGAGTAAATATATTTAAGAATCCATTGGTATTTTTATTAGACTTGACAATAAAATAATTTACCCATAATAGCTTAAGAAGTTCTTAACCAGATGTGTGTATGTGATACTGTGAAAACAGTAGTCTTTCCTGCTCTCCATTATTTCTCCCAGCAGTTTATAAATGCTTATAAATGCAGTTTATAAAACCTACCAGTTTATTGGTAAGGAATTGGACTCCATTTGGAAGTTGTTATAGCAAATAACTGATTGTAGAAGAAGAGTAATAAGACATTTGGCACTTGTGTGTGCATTTAATTTTGTATAAACTAATGTATAGAGTATGCCCATATGTATTCATGTAATCCAGACATGACTAAAAATGATAAAACTAATATAAATGAGTAATAAACTAGCCTATGAATCAAACACCAGAATACATTCTGTTCATTAGAGAGGAAGTTGACTCAGCAGTAAATCAGATGAGCTTTTCCTTGTGTCTTCAAGATGTGAAATTACAGGAATCCAAAGATGGGAAATTTGAACTTAAGAAAGCTCTTGATTTGAAATTGGGGAATTTGACCTGAAAGTGAAAGAGCATTAGAACCAACTAGTACATTTAAAGCTGAGGACAATTAAGGGAGGGTAGGGAAGTATGCTAAAAGCTCATAGATGATGATGATGAAAAATTGGGGAGATTACCTATATTTTCTGCACACCAAGTGGGAAAGATGAAAATAAAGGGTATCAGAGCAAGTGGTCAGTGACTGATTTATATAGATAGGAAGTTCAGAAAAGATGAGATGGTTATATCAGAGAACCAGGTATTGCTTTATAGTACTTTTTGTTTGTTTTTTGGCTTTCTTTTAGAACATTGTGTAGTTTCCTTTCCAGAACTCTTCTATCTGCTTGATATTACATAATGACTGCAAAGCTATTTGACAGTAACTACAATGCCAGAAGAGTAGATTTTGGCTTAGAGTCAGACTTTGTACTTAGGTCAGCATTTGTTAGAGTGAGGGGATCTGGGTCATATAATCTAAGGGTGGAATATAACACTCTATTATATATCACTGCTATTGCCCCAGCCTACACCACCACCATCTGCCTGAAACACATAAAGAACTTCCAGACTGGTCTTCTTACAGTCCATTCTCTATAGTCGATTGTCCAAATAGCAGCCCGTGATCTGTTAAAAAAAAAAAAAAAAAAAAAGAAAAACTCAGTTACATCTCTTCCCTGGTTCTGTGCTTCCATTGACCTTCCATTACCTCCCATTGCATTTTCAAGGAGGAACCACATGCTTTCCTGCACTTGCCCCCCTCTCTGTCCTGTCTCTCTTGCTTCTTACTCTCCAGCCGGCAACTCACACCTAAGGACATTTGCACTTGCTGTTCTCTGTGCATAGCTGTTTCGCCCATCATTCACATTTAGTGAGCACGTGCATGTGCCAACAACTCTGATACTAGCATCATGCAAAGGATATTTCCTTACTGTCTGATTGAAAATCTCAATCTGCTGAATTGGTTTTTGAAAAGCTGTCTAGTTTTCTTTTTCTTCCCCTAGCTTTGTAAGATTAATATAGAAATGGTCTTCATTTTAGATACAACAATCACAACAATTCCTTGAACTTCAGACAAGTGAACAGATATGATGTGTTGGGGCTGGGGAGGAGAGAGAAGGGGGGAAAGAGGAACTGGTAAAGGGACATGAAAATCAACTGCAATGTATATTGAGAAGTTAAAATAAAAATAAATAAATAAAAATAAATAAAATAAAAAATTTAAAAAGGAAGAACAGTTTTTGTTTTTGTTTTGTTTGTTTTTTGGCGGCCAGTCGGTATGGGGATCTGAACACTTGACCTCGGTGTTACAACATTGCTCTCTGACCAGCTGAGCCAGCCCCTAGTAGTTTTTTACACCAGTTTCTTTGATGTTTCCATTAAGTTTCTTGTAAGTGTTTTAGAGGGAGGAGAAGGAAAAGGCAAAATTCAATCTTATAATAAATAAGTCAATTGAATACAGTCTGTTTTAAATTTAGACATTTTCAAGATGTTAATCCTAGTTTTATCTCCATATCCAAAATATTTATGCAGTGCACAACTCAAGTTCATGTATATATGTTGAAATATATGATTAATTTGTTCAATAAGTTTTTATTAGTAACATATAGCTTAAAACTTTGTGAGGACATGCCAGATTTCTTGAGCTCAGTTTTTCTTGAAAATTATTTTCATGCTTATAATGTTCTGCAATGTCCATTCTGTACGTTGATTTAAAAAAAATAACAAAGAAGATATGAAAACAGTTCTCTGGAGTCTTGTGTAAATAAATGTAATTTAAAAAAAAATTTGAAATATGAATAATTAAGCTGTGTCTTAAGAGTTTTTGGTTTGATCAAATTTAAGTTCTCCTTCTTGACACTAAAGGTTATGATTATAAATAGCTAATTTCTATTGCATTTTTATTACTTTTTTTAAAAAGTTGCTTTTTTGTTTGTTTTTAACCTCCAGATTTCGGCCTCATCAGGATGCAGATCCTGAAAAGCCACGTGTCGCTGCTCTGATTGACAGGCTCATTGCTTTTAAAAATAATGATCATGGAGCTTGGGTCAGAGGAGGAGACATCATCGTTCAGAATTCAGCGTAGGTATTCTCTACAAAGTTATTACCCGATGACAGTAATGTATTTATTGTTAAGGATTTTTTTAAAAAAAGACAGCCAGTAGAATAAAAGTGTGGTGGTTGTTCCTGGAATATTATTATTATTATTAATAGACAGGACATAGACAGGACAAGCTCTGAGGAACTATGCTAGAGTTAACAGACTGCAAATGTTTGGAATCGTCTCATTCTGGTGCTTTTATTGGAACTGAACCTGTCTGGTGACATGAGAGCTTTTTGATGAGATTGAGCAGAAACTGGGAATTTAACTTTATATAACAAGCATGGTCTATGTCAGAGAGCTAAATAAAGATTTTGAAACTACCTGGATTTTTTTCCTTCCTCTTGGAAACTCCTTAAAGTTTTTTAATGCTCTTCCACTGCCATTTAAAACAAAAGCTGTATAATTCCACCGTAATAAGTCTGTTGACTTATGTCTTAACATGACTTTAGGCAGTAAGCATCTAACTTTTTTTTTCCCATTTGTATAATTTTAGGAGAGATCTGATGCATGTTGAGCTAAGATTTGGCATTCAACAATCTAGAAAAAAAGGATTTTTTTTTTTTTGGCACTGACATTAGCTTCTTGGCATTTTACTGTCATCTTTTAGTTTTATCATCCACAAAGGTGATTGTAATTGAATCTGTAGAACTGGCTTACGTGTCATGTTGAAAAGTTTTGAAGAGAATACCATGATCTATTTTTTTTTAAATGATAAAAATCATTACAGCTAACAATTATATTCTGCTTACTCTATGCTAGGCACTATTTCAAATCCTTGAAATTATTTAGTATGTTTGATGCCCTCAAATATTCTATGAGGAAGGTTATATTATTATTTTAACTTATAAATGAGAAAACATAGGGAGAGACAGGTTGAGTAACTTGTCCATGGTCTAACAGCTAATAATTGGCAAAGCCAGGATTTGAACCAGGTACCTTCACTGCAGATTCTGTGCTCTCAGTTATTGTGAAGTGAAATTTTTGTGTGGTCTTTGAGAGAGTAAACATTGGGATTTCCTGGATTTTGTGATAATTAGGTATTGAGAGAAATACCTCTTCTTATATTATGTGATGAATTAAAATTCCTTCTCTTTTCTCTTATAGATTTGCAGATAATGGAATAGGATTGACCTTTGCCAGGTTTGTAATTGCTTAAAAATACTTTGATTATTTTAAAGCTGTAAGATAAAGTAACCCTTGATATATTTTTTTCTTTTTTCTTTTTGAATAATGCACAGTGATGTTTTATCATTTATTACCATTAAAAAAAAATTAGCATCCTCTTCCTAATGCCACTAGAGGGCCAAAAATACATTCTTATTGATTAATTGAATTCGTACCAAAGTAGTAGGTTAATATAGCTGGAACTGCACAGAAGAAATGGATTAGGCCTATAAAAATTTCTACTTAGAAAAAAATGCTTGTGATTTAGACTAAAGTTCTTAAAAAGTAGGGGGAAAAGAGAAAGGGAGTAAAAGTAAGGAGAATATTAAAAATCAATATTTCTTTCTTAGTAGCTGTTCTAATTTGGCAACAGTCTTTAAGAACTTAAGTTTTTGTGTTATGTATTTTTCTCCAGATAATAGTCAATCTAATTGGCACGTTAAACATGCTCTTCATTTAATAGTATTCGGGGCAAGTTTGTTCCTCATCTGCGATGTTGTTGCTTTAGACTAATCAGTTGTTAGTGCTAAATTAAATTTTATTTGTTTATATGAGGGTACTTCAGAAAGTTCATGGAAGGATTCATGTTATCTTTTAATTCCATTTTCCATGAACTTTTTGAAGTACCCTCTTATAATTTGTAAACCTTTTGTTAATTTAGAAGAGGTATATTAGTCCATTTCAGGTGCTTATAATAAAATACCTGAAACTGGGTGATTTGTGAAGAGATTTATAAAGAAAATGAGATTTATTGCTTACAGTCCAGGGAACAGAGCTGGTGAAGGCCTTGGTGGTGATGGCAGGGTATCACACTGCAGAAATGGTGGAGCAGAGAGAGTGCTGACCTCCTCACGCACTCTCCTTTTAAAGCCCACCAAACCATGCTGCTGACCATCGTTACTAATCCATTTACTACAGCATGTGTTACAATCCAATCACCTTTTCAAGGCTCCACGTTTCAGTTACTGTAATAGGATTTCCCACCCTTTTAACAGTCACAGTGGGGGCTGTTTCTAATACATAAAACTTGGGGGACACGATTCAAAATTCAGGGAGTTTTGGGGGGACATAATTCACTATAAGAGGTATTTCTGCAGTTTAAAAGCAATTTCTAAGGACTTGGTGATATGTATTAGAAAAAAAACTATTGACTTCTTTTAAAACTTTTAGCTTTTTAAGTTGTAGCTTACTTTCATTGGGGAGTAAATTTAAATTTCCTAGGGAAGTGTAGCTAATGATTTTTCTCATTTTAACAGTGATGGAAGTTTCCCAAGTGATGAAGGTTCTAGCCAAGAGGTATCTGAATCTCTCTTTGTTGGGGAGAGCAGGAATTACGGCTTTCACGGTGGTCAGAACAAGTATGTAGGCACTGGAGGAATAGACCAGAAGCCTCGGACGTTACCTAGGAACAGGTAAGTGTTACTTAAACAGTGGAGTGTTAAATTTAAACAATAAAGAAAAGGCTAAACCTCAAGGAAGTTTCTGTAATAATCCCGGACTGATTGATTCCTACCTGACTGTAACTCTTTTCCTATCTTCTTACAGGACCATACACAACAATAAATAAAAAACATTTCAGAGATTTCATTATCAGTTTTATAACAGAGCAACTGATCTTGTTTTTAATCCTTATATAAGACCTTATATAAGCTGGTGATTTTTTTTTTTCTTTTTTCTTAAGCCATTTTTCTTAAGCCACAGGAAGTTGCCAAGCCATAAACTATGACATTAGGTCAGTTTTCCCTCAATGTTGGTTTCAGAAATAGCTACTGGAAAAAGGAAATTACCTACTGAAAAGAGTCCTAGAAAACGAGAGTTGACTGATGCCTAACCACGGCTGTATAATTAACAGTGTTCTAGATGTTGGAGGGGATGGGGCAGGCTTTTGGTGTGTTTTCTGTCATCATAATCACTGATTCATTAAAATAGTACTTAGCGCTAGGAAGATTCTTCAGAGCTTTCAGGGAGCTATTAACTAATCCATAACTCAGTTCTTAGACACAGTTTGGAATTGTCTTTATTTTACTTGTGAGAAAACTTGTAGAGAAGAACTACATAGTATTTCACAGCTTCGCATCTGAGCCTGTGTCATAATTCATCAAGAATGAAGTCCCTTCACAACAGCGCCGTCTATGGACATCGGCTAGGACAAGGCAGGGGAAGGGGGCAAACAGAATTAGCTCGGGGTGAGGGGTGCGGAGTGAGGTTGCAGAAGAGCTTTACTAGTTTCTGGGGAAGGGTTCTTCATGCTCACCTCCACTCCCCTGTGCTTGTCAGCGTGGAGTACTGCGTGCCCTTAATGCTGCCCTGCAAGCGGAACTATCGTGGAAGCCAGTGAGAAAAGAACCTCATGCATTTGTAATAGCTCACATTTCTCAAGTGCTTGTGATGCAACAGGCCTATCTAGATGACTTTGTATTTGCTTATTCCTCACCCAGCCAAGGGAGGTAGGTCCTGTCACCATCCTGTTTTACAAAGGAGTAACTTACTAAAGGTAGTGGAGGTGAGATTCAAACCTAGTTAGCTTGGCTGTGCTTTTCACCATTAGGCTGTGGCTGCCTCTCCTAGTGTGTAGACTTTTGTTTGTTTGTTTGTTTTTTAAAAAGCTGTATTTGTTGGGGGTACGGGTTGCAGGATGGTGGTGGCCAAGTCAATTTCATTCCTGTTTTATATTGACCTCCAGTTTCATTTCAAAATGCTTGTTGCTTCTTTGCCAAGGAAGATTTTCCCAAATAAAAATTTCTCATTGATTAATAGGCTCAGTTTTTAATTTACTTATCTTTACAGCCTTTTCTATGGAGGAGAAACATTTTGAGATATATGATTACAAATACATCATGATGCATAGATTTTTAATTGGGCTATTTGGTTTTCTTGCTAGTGTATATGCTTTCATTATAAAACACTGCAAAGTTGTAAACTAATTTGTTGCTATAGCTATCTTCTGCAATGCCATTAAAAATGTAATAGGAGAGAAACCTGAAGAATTCAGAATATTGTAAGTTTTGTAAATTAATTATGGTTTGTGTTTGAACAGAAAGGGCGATAATGAATAAAATGAAATTCTCAATCTAGCTAATGCTTTGGACATAGTAAGCCTTGAGAATTTAGGCTTTTATACTTTAAAGTATATCATTTCTTTCACCTTTTTCCTATCATTTAATGGCTTGAGGGGGAAGTTCTCTCTGCTTAAGCCCAGATTTGTCTTTTGTTCTCATGGCTAGAAATTTTGGAACTAACACTAAAGTTATATATAACACTAGAGTTACCAAAAAAAAGATCTTAACTGATTTGACTCAAGGAAGCCAGTCAGAGAGGCTTCCATTCTATCCCAAATAATAATTCTATCCAAATGTCTCTCTCACCACCCCTGTCAATTGTATTACTAGGTCTTGTTTCCATAGTACTTATCTGAAATTTTCTTTTTTCTGTTTGTCTTTCTCACGACAGTTTATGCTTCATTCAATCAAGGATCTTATCTTGGTGGCCACTACTGTTTCCTAGAATTTTGCTCAGGGCATCTGGGATATTCAGCAGTATTTATAAAACAAATAAGTGGAGTTTTGTTCAGGGGACAGGCTCATGTGTATTACACAAAATCTTGTATTTCAACAGGACATTCCCAATTAGAGGCTTTCAGATTTATGATGGGCCCGTTCATCTCACCAGGAGCACTTTCAAAAAATACGTGCCAACTCCAGATAGGTACAGCAGTGCGATTGGCTTCCTCATGAAGAACTCCTGGCAGATAACGCCCCAGAATAACATTTCCCTTGTGAAGTTTGGTCCGCATGTAAGTATGTTCCTACATAATGACTATGTTTGGAGAGGGAGGGGGCTGCACATTCCCAAAGACAAAAAACACAAAGGATTTGCACCAAGTCTTTATGACTAGTAGGAGAAATTATCTACAAAAGCAACCCCTAATTCCGTGTACTCTGTCCCATCGAGTTCAAGGTGAGGACAGAAGTCCCATATGATTTGGGGTATTTTTGACATTCAGCTCAAATTAGAATTAAGCATTAAATTCAGGTCTCGAAAGGGAAGATGACTTAAAGTTTGTAGTGTTTCACAGGAATAAGAGGGCATAGATTTTGAGAAATTCAGTCAGTGTAATGAGCTGGCAGAGTAGCCCATCTCCACTAACTCATCTGGGGACTATTCTTCTGGGAACTAGAGGATGAAAAATTGGGAGCAAAGAGGAATACTGGGGCAGTATGATGCAAATTGGGTTATTTCTGATAAAAACTGTTGGAAGGCTTTTATGAAGATGGCAGAGAATTTTTAGAAATTATGGTTTATGATGAAGAAGCCCCCAGAAAGAGTTTTCTTAGCAGTTTCACCAGTATCCACTCTACCCATAGTACACAGGACAATCTGATTCCAGACCCCCAGGCTTTCCCCAGCTTGCCAGTTCCATGATGGCAGCAGCATAAGAGAAACTGAGACTCAGACCACCTAGCTCCCTGCTCCCACAGGCAGCTGCAACTGGCAAATAGCTCATAGTTCCCTCATTCATGTCCACACATGAACTTTGTAGTTGCCCCATTTAAAATAGAACTTGACATAGATTTGCCAAATTCTATATTTGGTTTCCTAGAGCAGCCAAGGCATGGAACAGAGGCACAGGTGCAAACTGGGACATTAGCGTGGTTGGCTGGTTTTCTTGAGGCCACGTGACTCCAGGGGCAGGGTCGGGCTAGGCTAAGAGATGGAGGTTTCTCACGTAAATCAATAGGGTGGGTCTTGGGTCACCTCTTCTGTTGGAGGTTGGCTGTTCACTTACCTCCTACATGGAGCTCCCCATAGTCCTCCATGCACAGAATTTAGTGACCACTAATGTGGTCATACTGAAAAACAGTTTGTTAGATATTGCATTTGTAGTAGGAGTCCTCAAATTATAACAGCATAAGTGAAGCCATATTGTTCAAGTCCAGCAGTTCATCCAGCCTGGAGTTTTCTATGGTAGTGATACTTTGGGGACAGTTTAGAAAGGGAAGTTTGTGAAGTTCTACTTAAAAAGGTGGAAAATACACTGTAAACTTCTTTGAGATTTAACCATCGGAGGCACAAGGGAAAAGAGAAAAAGCGTGGAACTAAGAACCTGGAACCACTTGTCCCAAACATCCCTGTTTTCCATCGAGTTGCTTGTCATTTAGATGTGCTGTTGATTTAAAAAAAATCCCAGGATGATGAGTGCATAAAAGCATTTTAATGGTATATCTGTGTGGCTTGAACAACATCAGTAACTGACCACTAGTGAGAAGCAGCTAAAAACTATAAAACATGTTACCTGCAGCCAGCTTTGCAGCCTGTATTATGTGTTCAATACAGGCTTTATATTAGCTCTACCTGACATGAAAATTATTGAGCTGGCCTTGGTGTGTGTTGAGGAGCGAGATAGTAACATAACACTTTTCAGCAGATTCTAGGGAGTTCAACAGTAACCCAGCTGTAATAAGCCAGCACTTAAATTGTGCTTCAGTTTTGAACTGTACTTATTTTTTGGTGGAGGGAGTTATATGAATAAGTAACTGAAGCATTCAGAGTGAAATAAAATGATTGACTCATTTGGAAGATAAACATATAATAGATTTTTATTTAATTGAGGTATAATTTGCATACTTGGAAATGCACAGATCTTATGTGTACAGTTTATAATTTTTAAAAAATATATACAACTGCATAGTCCCCCTTCCCACAACTGTTCTGGTTTCTCTTACCACAGATTAGTTTTCTCTGGAGAACAGGTAATAGTTTTTAAGTGGGGAGGGGGAAGAATGAAAACAAAGATGGAGTTTAACATTTCCCAAGGTTTTGGGAATTTTTTTCCCCTAAGCCTGTCATTAATTAAGTAGAAAAGTCTGATTGACTGGGTGCCATAGTTGGCAACTATGAGCTGTAACTCAGAATTGCTTTAACCTTAAAGCAGTTTTAATGGACATGCAGTTGGATCTTTGCAGGGGACACTAATATGACAGGAGCCTCATTTTGTGATGTCCTTGTTTTTCACTGCTGTCAGGTCTCTCTGAATGTCTTTTTTGGAAAGCCTGGCCCCTGGTTTGAAGATTGTGAGCTGGATGGTGATAAGAACTCCATATTCCACGACACTGATGGCTCTGTGACAGGATACAAGGATGCTTACGTGGGAAGAATTGACAACTACTTGATCCGCCATCCAAGCTGTGTAAACATTACCAAATGGAATGCAGTGGTCTGCAGTGGCACCTATGCCCAGGTAGGCTTAGAAAGTATTACAGTGCCTGAGTCCCCGCCAGCTCCTGACAGTACTGCTTCTGCAAGGAGTACTATTCAGCTTCTCAGTGTGACTGGTGCTTTCCAAAGCATGATTTTTCTTTAAAAAAAGGAAAGAAAAAGAAAATTCATTAGGAGTCAGGGACTCATAGGATTTTACTTAAAGTTTCACCACCTCAAACCAATTTAATAAGTGAAAAAGTGAGTCCCAGAAAGGTGAGATGGTTTACCCTTGGTTAATATGGTTGGGATGTAGTTGGGTGAGAACCCATTTTTCTTGATACTTAGGTTTTCTTGACATTACAGCTGTACTCCCTAAGAGGGAGTTTTATCCTGTGCTTTCAGGGTCACTGTTTCTAAGTAACGAGGGAATCTCACTTTTGAGGCAGAATATCAGTAGGTTACAGGGAAAGTGAGATGTTCCCAGGGACAGAGCTGGGAATTGGAAATGAGTGGAAAAGGAAAGAATCCAAGGAAATTCTTCTAATTGTATTATGATATAATGTCTATGAAAATATGAAGTAGATAGCATAGATTGGGAAAGACCTCTTTGAAAACATTAAGCTGTTGTATTTTTATTTCCTTGATGCCCAGGAAAAGAGGATGGACTAATTTGTGAGGTAGTGTGTATGCTTAAGAGCGGAGGCTTTGGAGCCAGACTGCCTGGGTTTGAATCCTGGCTTTGTTATTTCCTAAAATATGAGTTGGGCAGGATAATTGATTGCTCTGTGCCTATGCACACTGAGAATAATAATAGTTCCACTCATATGAGGCTGTTGTGAAGACAGAAAGTGTGAATTCTCGTATGTCAAGTGTGGGACATATGGCATGGCACATGGTGAAATGCCTGCTGCTTTTATCAGTATTTGAGAAGCAGGGCTCTGAGTTGAAAAGGTGATTTTAATAGTAATACTTAGGTGGATGAAAGAGATTGCAGAATGGAGGTACCAGTTGCCCAGAATTTTGAAGAGAGCAGAATTATTCTCCCATATTTTCGACAGCTAAAGGGTAGAATTTAATAATAGACTGTCAGGGGAGATAAAAGTGTTGATTTGCCTCCCACGGATTTTCCACTCCTTTTCCCCTGGGTGACAGAACCGCCAAATATTACTCAAAGCCCATCTCTTCTGAGCAGTGAGATGCCCCAGAAAGGGGTTAATATCCCAGAACCCTCAAGTGTGAGGCATTCCTTCCATTTGGGAAATTAACCATGAATTGGGGTTCTCTCCTGCATTTATTCTCCAGACCAGCAAGTTACAGGAAGAGACATAGGTGGGGTTTTGCTAAGTACAGTTTAACAGGTTTAACAATAGAAGCTGGTAACATTCAGTAAAAACAAGTCAGATGACATTCTGTTAGGCAATTAAGTGATCTACCAATAAAAGCTTGATCTAGCAAACATTCTTTCTCCCTCCAGCATCTTCCCAGTAACTTTACATATCAATCAGTAACTAGTCTGTCTTTGAACCAGCAACCTTGCTGTGTTACAATTCTTTATCTTACAACAGAGACTCGATAGCCTAGGGAAAATTTCCTGTCTTTTGCTAGGTCAATATTTGAAACTGCAAGGCTTTGGAAAACCAGGCCCTGTGAAGTACATTTGCTTTATGAATACTCTACATAAAAGAATAAAGGAAAGGGATGATTAGAGCATGGTGAGGAGAATTAGAGGGAGAGCAAGGGTTCTGGCAAATGGAATTGGACTCTGATAGCCCCAAAGACAGGAAAGAAACCTCCTCCATTGATCTGCCAGATGCTCTCATTCGTAGCGTGGGCTCTTCATGGGGAGAGACCAGTTCGGTGGTATTTCCCCTCTGCTGAGCTCCCCTTACTTTGCCTGTCAGAGGTGTCCTTATGGGCTCCTGCTTGTCACTTTTCTGAGCCTCCTGAGTTTTTTGTAGTTTCTCCTCCTTAGCTCCTATAGTTGGAGCTTCTTGGATCAGAAGGATCAGAATTCCTCATTGCTCTTCTGACTGTGAATCGTGACTATTAAAGAATATTAAAAAACCTTCAAAAAAGTTTAGATTTTTATCTACAGACAAGACAAGAGGACTAAGAGGGATAAAGACTGGAGTTAGTTTTGGTTTATTTTAATGGGAGTGTTAGCTTCTTTATTGTGGGATTTCTCATTCCTATAGTTAAAAAAAAAAAAAAAAAAAGGTGATACTTGCTTAAGTCCTGGAGGGAGAAAGAGGGGATGGAAAATTAACTACAGGGTTAATAAAGAAGAAAAGAGCATGGTTGAAAATGTGATTTCTTTTTTCCCTTCATTTTATTCTTAATCAGAATTCTTCCCACTCCCACCCCCAAATGTAAACATTACCAAATGGGTAATGTCTTCCTTCCATGGGAAGAAGAAAGGACATATATACATACATTACATATATAACCTTATACGTATATATAAATATACATAATTAAATGTATGTTAAATATAAATATGTATTTAAATAAATAATATATTATTTAAATGAAAATAATCTGTAGTGTTAAAAATATGTATCTTTTCTCTTTATTTTAAATTCTTAAGTGGTATTGTTATAGAAGAGTATTAAATCTAAGTAGTCAAAACTGAATGAGTGGAGTGTGGTGTTATAACACCAAGGTCAGGGGTTCACATCCCCATATCAGCCAGCCAAAAAAAAAAAAAAAAAAAAAGAAGACTTTCTGGCCCAAAGGACATATTATTGAATAGCCAATATGGACAAGATTATAGAAGTGAGAGAGAAAAATACAGAAGTATTATAGATTAAATGTTAGTATTCTGCAAATGTTTTAATACTTCTGGAGAATTTGGTACTGATTTGTTTTAGGTTGTCTTGAGGTTTGTCCTTTGAAGGATGCTTTTATGGAAGGTTTTGTTTAGGCATGACAAGAGGCTGAAATGCTACTGGAATAAATTCAGGATTTTCAAATTTGTCTCATTTTAATATGTTTTTCCAGTTGTTGCAGAGCACTTTATAATTTTTTTTTCCATGAATGGGTGAAAAATGATTTCTTGGGCTGATGTAGGTCATGGAAAATTGAAAGCCACAGTTCTAAGATATATAAATTTTCCATCTTATGGTTAGATTGACTTGACTAGAGGATATTAGTTTTCACGTTAGATTACTAATTTTTTTTATGTGTGTGCTCTTCAGATTGAGGGGTTTCTTTGACAAGCTATATAAGCCACAAAGGTTTTATATTCTGATGAATAAGCTGGCCCTTAGTGGTGGAAGAGATGATGAAGATGTTGGCTAGCAGAACACATGGTCTGTTTTTGCCATTTCTAGTGAAGCAGGCTGTACTGTGAGTGCAGTTTAGGATGTCGTTGGCTGCTGCTCATTTAGTCTGGCACCGATCACAGAATCTCTCTTTTCAAAGTAGAGCCACTTGACTTTGGCTAGAAATGTTTGTGTAGCTATTTAAACTTTCATTCTCTTCCCTTTAACTTTTAATTCTTGTTTTAAGGTCTATGTACAGACATGGAGCACTCAGAATCTTACCATGACCATCACGCGAGATGAGTATCCTTCGCACCCCATGGTGCTCCGGGGGATTAACCAGAAGGCTGCCTTTCCACAGTACCAGCCTGTCATCATGCTGGAGAAGGGCTATACCATCCACTGGAATGGGCCAGCACCACGCACTACTTTTCTGTACCTCGTAAACTTCAACAAGTATGTTTCTATTATTGTTGAGCAAGTAGTAATTTAGTGGAGAAAAAGAATAACATATCCCCTGGGTAGCAAGTAAAGAATGCTAATTTCATGTACTTTGCTCCTCTTATGGGGAGGCTGTTTTGTGTGGATGGAATTAAGAGATCATACAAATGGAATCCTGTGATTTTAAAAGCATTTCTTTCCCTCCATAGTCAAGGTATTGTGTACAAAAAGCCATTCAACAATGGGTTTTAATACAGTTTGCTGAACGCTTTAATTCCCCTGTAGTGGGCTGGGAAGAAGTTTTATGTGGTATCCCAATGAGCACTTGGTTCCCTGGAAAATTCAAGTTTATACTTGACATAAGAAAGTGGTGTGATTGATTAGTAATGCCCGCTGTGGGTGAGAGGTGGAAGAGTTGGGACACGAGTGTTGGACATTTGCCACCCCTGCCTTAAAGCACACACTAGCCCTTCTTGTCTGTGCTAGTGATATCATGTTCAATCCGAGGTTCTAGTTTTTACATTAATTTATTCAAGTGTTTGCTCTGTATCAGTTGATATAAAGATGAATGAGAAAAGTACTTGTCCTCTAGGCACTCACAGTAGACAGGTAGAAAAAACATAATAGATAAACCAGAACTATTTTTCAGTAGATGAAGGATAGAGCAGCTAATTCTGCCTAAGGGAGTTGGGCCAGGATGCTGTGAAATTAGGTGACCAGTCTCGTTACGAACATGTAGAGTTGGGAAAGGGCCTGTTCTCCTTGGGGAATGGTGGCTTCAGTGTCAGGGGAGCATAGGGTGCAGCAGGGGAAGTGACAGAGGTGCAAATAGAAAGGAGGGAGGGACTGTTTTGAAAGGCAGGGGCAAGCCAATCTAGATTCGCGTGACTGTTAAACCAGGAGACTCCATGACACCGCTCAGATAGGTGCTGAAAAATCAAAATGGCTTGTTCACCTGACTGCTTTTGAAGCTCTGGCTTGTCAGAACTCTCTTGAAACAACCAGTTTGAATGAACAGAGAAGGATCAGAATGTGTAGGAAGTCAGCTCTAAGTAGGGCACTTGCAAGGATGGATGTCCCGGCTCTGGGGTAGTTAGGCCTCTGGCGCATGCTCTAAACTGAACACCAGCACGGTGACACTTGCTGCTGCTTCTCTGCCCCACTTACATAGTGAACCAATCCTAGAATCTCAGTACTCATTTCTGACTCTCATCAGTGAACAAACTCTGTTGGATCTAACTCCTTAACGTCATTCAAATCTCTCTACTTCTTTCTGCCCCCACTGCTGTGACAGAGTTCAGGCCACCTTCATCTTCTGCATGGCTCCCCAAAGCAGCTTTATGTGGTCTCCCCACCTCCAGTCCTTAGTCCACATCATATCCAGTGTGAGATTTCTAAAAGCCCAGTCTGATACTATCAGTGAATTGAAGAGAAGTCAATGAAAGAAACAAACGATCATCAGACAGGAAGGAGAAGAAATGTCCAGAAAGTTATACCGGGCAGGATGATGAATTTGAGATGAGTTAGTACAATCAAATGATATGCACGGTTCTGTAAAGTCAGTACCATGCATAACTTTTCATCAAATGCTGAGTAGGTAAAAACATTTTAAAGTGAGAAAAAGCTGAGCCCAGAAGTTTTAAAAATTCACATGGGATTGAAATTTGGTCATACTTTTTTTGTTTAATTAGCTAAAAGTTTATAAAAATTACATGATGGGCAGAGGAAAGAGGAAGAGATGGACAGTTTTCCCCTCAAATTTAATGTAATTATAGGGAGGTCATAGATTTTGTAATAGAGCACTTGTGAAAATAACACTTTAAAAGCTATAAAAGCTGTACTTACTCATTAAACAAAATAAAATAAGAAAAAGAAAGAAAATTGAAATAATTTAAATCTTCCTAATCCAAGTGAGGCACTATAAATATTTATAGTGTTTTCTGCTCTCTCTACCATCAAGTGTTTTCTGAGCATATGGATGTACCATAATTTTTTTTCACTTAATAAATTTTTTTATTGGAAATCTTTAGAACTAAGTTTATTTATTTATTTTTAAAAATGCAATTTTATTAATTTTTTTTTTACATTCTAGGATGTTGTGGAGCAGTTGGGAGCAGTTGGGTGGGAGGGGGAGAAAGGGGAAGGAAATGTGATGGAAGAAGGAGGAAGGAGGAGGCGTGGGATTGATGCCTCTGGCATCCCCACATTCCCACAGGGGAGACTGGGGGGGTTTCCAGTGGTGGGTTGGTCATTGCCGGGCTGGGAGCTGATGTCAGGGGGATGTGGTAAAAACCTTTGCTCGCCCACCACCCCAGCTCAGGAACCCGGGGCCCTTCTTGCTGAGGCTTGGTGGTCATTGCTGGGCTGCTTGCATGTGTCAGGGGGGCATGGCCGAGGCCTGAGGCCCCCCACTGCCCTGGCTTGGGAGAGCCTGGGGTGCTTCCTGCAGTGGCTCACTGGTTGTTCTGGGCTGGCTGCAGGTGTCATTGGGGCGTGGCTAAGGCCCTTGGCCCCCTACTGCCCTGGTTCAGGAGAGCCCAGGTTGCTTCCTATAGTGGCTCAGTGGTCGCCACTGGGCTGGTTGCACGTGTCAGGGGTGGGGGTGTGTGGCTGAGGCCCCCCACTGCCCCAGCTTGGGAGAGCCCAGGTGCTTTCTGTGGCAGCTCAGTGGTTGCTGGGCTGGTTGTGGGTGTCAGGGGGGTCATAGCTGAGACCCCTGGTCCTCCCCCCTTTCTGGCTTGGTAGCCCAGGGGACTTCTGGTCCTTCTAGGTGTTATAGGTGTTATTGGTGAAATGAGACCTTTCCTAGTTAATATGAAGCTGTCTCTCATTGCAGGTACTTTGTTTTTTCTTACAGTTTTGTGTTGGGTTATGTGCTGTTCCCACCACTTAAACTCTGCACTGGAACTAATTTGTTATCCTTTGCTTACTTGTGAAATGGAGGAACTTCCTGTGGGGACCAGCACTTGAGCTCTGTGGTTTAGCTAAATTGCTGCTTTGCTGCTGATTCCCTGGGGAAGGCTTTTTGTGCAGCTCAGGCACTTCCAGGTCTAGTGAAATCCTGTGCACCTGGGGTTGTGTAGAAACTCTGGTCTGGGCCTGAGTCTTTTCATCAAACTGCACCCCATGCAATTCTATATTCCTGACAAGTCTCCTCTGAGTGGTCCTGTACTGATTGGGGGGTAGATCAGCTGTCCTTGCTGTGTCCCAGTGTTCTCCTGGTTGGCCTGTCTCCCCCACTGCCTGTGCTGCAAACACTTCCCATGGGATGGGCCGTGTTCTGGTTCCTTGAGATGACACACTGGCTTTTGAGTGGCTCCTTTTTTTCCAGTTGTGGCTCCTTACTCTTATATGGGTCCATGGGAAAACTATTAGTGGTCTTGATGGCCTGTGGGCCACCAAGGCCCTCTTCTGCCTTGCTGCCTCCAAGCAACTTCATCTGTGAAGCTGTGGCTTTTGCCAGCTCCTGCTCTGTGTGCTCAGCAGCTCCAGCCTGGAAGCAGCCAGGGCTTGGAATGGTCAGAGTGGTTTTTTCTTTCTCTTATCATGGCTTCTCCCGCCTTCATGTACTCCATAGGTCTCTCCTCTTCCCCTGAGCTCTAGCGGCCCCAGCTTGGCTGTCATTGCTTTTTTATAGTTGTAAATTGGTTGATTTGTGGGAGAGATGCTGGGGACTGTCTATTCTGCCATCTTGACCGGAAGTCTGTACTGTAATTTTTAAAGTACTTCCTACCCATGTAAACATTCAGGTTGTTTTGCTCCCGCTTTTTTTTTTTTGCTCTTATAAACAATACCTCATACAACATCTTTTCTTTTATGTCTTTTGCCTGCATTTCTACTTATTCTCTAGTGGGATTATTGGGTAAAACCTGTGTTAACAATTTTAAGGCTTTGTTATATATTGTTTAAAAATTCTTTAGTGATGAAAAGTTCTGGAAGTGGATAATGGTGATGGTTGCACAACCTTGTGAATATATTTAATGCCACTGAGCTGTATAGCTAAAAATGCTTCAAATGGTAAATTTTATGGTATGTATATTTTACCATAATAAAAAAGGTAAAAAAAAAAAAAAGGAAATGGTAAAAATGGAAAATATTTTTATAGTGTTTAAAAAGGACTAAAATTTTTATCTAAGGACATTAAGAAAAAAATACTGTGGCAATTTGGTGATATTCATCAAATGCTTTAAAAATGCATATACATTTATATCCAGCAATTTTGCCACTGGAAATTTATTCTAATATAATTACAAAAAGATAAAAACGTATTTATGAACAAAAAATCCTTTAGAACAGTTTTACCCATGCACACTTGCACTATCAGGCTATTAGTATTTACATTTTAGTACACCCATACCCAACCATCTCACTTAATTTAATATCTGTTTGGAGTGTGTAAATAATTTTACCTAACTTCTATTCACATTCCCCCAAATCCTGCTAAAACCAAGAAATTTTTTGTAGACCATATTATTGTTGTAAATATATTGATATGAGAAATTTGGGTAATAGATAAAGGTGGTTGATTTGCTAGTACGTCAGGGTTCAGGACTTCCATTGTTAGTAACTCAGCAGAAAGTAGACACTTAAGGAGGAGAAAATCATGGCTATGATTTCTAAATGCTATGACACTCAGAAGATAGCAGTTCAAGCGTGAATTTTTTTTTATTGTCTCTCCCTCAAGGAATGACTGGATTCGAGTTGGCCTCTGCTATCCATCAAACACAAGTTTCCAGGTTACCTTTGGCTTTTTACAACGGCAGAATGGCTCATTATCCAAAATTGAAGAATACGAGCCTGTGCATTCATTGGAAGAACTGCAGAGGAAGCAGTCTGAGAGGAAATTCTATTTTGACTCCGGCACGGGGTAATCCAGTGGAACCAAAGAATGAGAGTTATTGCTATTTTTCTTTAATGGTGAAATTACTAGTTCTTCAGCATAGCTAAGAATAGGCTGTGATGTGGCGGCTGTTGAGAAAAGCAGCTGATGTGGGTAATTCTCTGCACATCTCTATTATAGGTTTCAGGGGCAGCTAGAATGACTTGTAATTATAGTTGGCAGTAGGAATCGAGTGAAGATGTTTGCTAAGTTCCTATTAAGGCAATTTAGAGAGAGAAATTATCCTCATCAATGAACCACCAGGAGGCCCAATTGAAAATTAAAATAATTTTTTTCCTTAACAACTCTTAAGATGATTATTTGCATGTGATATAGTCCATATTTCAGTGAGAGGTCATTTTTCTCTTCCTATTGACTTAAGGCTATCTCTCAAGTTGACCTTGAGTTTTTAAAAATCACTGTGTAACCGTGGCATATTTGCTTTCAACTTTCTCTAGGCGGCATCTTTCCACTTTTTAATTCTAATCCTGTTCTCCCGGGGTCCTGTTGGCCTTGTCTGCTTTTATCCAGTTACAGTCTGGTAGGCTCGATCTCCTGTACTCTTCCAGAAAGTAGCATGCTCCTTCAGTCTCTATGTTTAAGCTGACATTCCTACCGTATGCCATTGTCTAGGCACTGCAAAGATACTGATGTACCTAAGACATTTCTTCTGTACATTCACAGTGCATTGAAGGATATGGGCATGGAAAGCAAGAGAGTGAAATGGTTAAATGCTGTATAAGTCCTGTAGTGGTACATTCAGTGACCCCCTTTGGGGTAACCCAGAAGTTCAGCCTAGACTAACCAGTGACATCCCAAAAGGGTGACCCTGGGGGTAAACCTTGAGGAACAATTAGGAGGAGATGGAAAAAGCAGTGGGTGAGGTGTCCCCGGCAGAAGGATCAGTGTGCAGAAATGCATGGAGGCATGGGAGAATGTGCATGGCATGCTTGGGGATAGGCAAAAGGTTCCAAGTGGGGAAAAGGGTGGCAAGATCAGCTGTGGGAGTGAAGTTGGGGTTTAGTCCTTAAATGTCTGGTTAACCTTTGAGTAAGATGCAACTCATTGCCCTCCAGCACCCCCAGCAGCCAGTGTGATCAGATCTGCTTTAGTTTTTTTTAAAATCATAATTATCTCTGATTTTCTTTCAACTTCTTTTTTTTATTTTTTATTTTTTTCCTTCTTGGCCAGCCAGTATGGAGATCCAAACCCATGACTTTGGTGTTATAAGGCTGCACTGTAACCAACTGAGCTAACTAGCCAGCCCTCGATTTCTAATTAGACTTAAACAACCTACCTGGGCTTTTGTTCAGATGACAGAAATTCCACATTCCCACTTGATTTTCCAAACAAAAAAAACCCAGAACACCCAAATTTGTAAGGATAGTCTGGTGATCACAAACTGATGATCAAATGTGTAAAAAGATGGGACACATTTTCTGGTCTGGGTATTTCAAGAATCCCTCAGTTGCTGAGGCTCTAATTTTTTAAATTCTATTCATTTTGATGATTTTAATTATATTTCAAAGGGGCCCAGGCCTAATCAGGTTCCTGTCTTTCCTTATGTACATACTTGTATGTTAAAATTATTGGATGTTGGGACACTGGCTGATTTTTACCTCATAATTGCAACTTTGCATTGGCCTCATGTTAAAATGTGAATTCTCGATCTCCAGTAATCAATTACATTTGATCAGGTCCTTTAGAATCTTGACTTCCTCCTGACAGATGCTGGACTGCTGCGTGGACATTAGACTTTTCCATTCATCTTGGCAGTAGGAAGGGAATTCACAATGGGAGGAACTGTTCATTTTGCCTGATTTTGGCCCAAGTACAGACAGAAGGACCCCAGGCCTATCTGCTCTTGGTAAACATCACAGGAATTGATGTGAAACTTTATCTTGGCCTTAGCCAGACAAGTCAGAATTGCTGTTTTCATTATTCCACTGTTGTGCCTTAAATCAAAATGATTTCTGAGCCAAAAAAAAAAAAAAAATAAAAATAAGAGCATAAACCACACTAATTTACCAAATCTGAAACTCAACATGCATATAAACTTTTCCAAGTAATTTTTGAGCCAAACCAAATTCCATCCTCCCAAATTACCTATTGAACGAATTCAAGCCAGAAAGCAACTTTGATATCTTTCAGAATGACTGAACCAGGGTATCAAAATATTTTCTACAGTGGTATTGCCTTTGACTTAGGACTCTAGTCAGACAGAAAGGAAAGAGAAACAACTTTATTAATTTTGTAATTTATTTTTCTTTTAAGGAAAAGTTACTTTACTGGAAGAATATCCCTTTTAGCCAGGGGTCGATTTGAGGAATTTTTGTAAGTTTTTGAGAGTAAGTCAAACAACAGATGGTTTCTGTTTTATGCAGGTTACTGTTTTTGTATCTCAAAGCCAAGAGCCACAGAGATGGCCACAGTTACTGTTCATCTCAGGGATGTGAAAGAGTCAAGATCCAGGCAGCAACAGACTCAAAAGACATGGGTAACTGCATGGCCAAGGCGTACCCACAGTATTACAGACAGCCGTCGGCAGTCAAGCGGATGCCACCCGTGCTTACTGGACTCTGTAAAGGCTGTGGCACCCGTCAGGTAAACCAGGGAGAAAAGTGGGCTGGTGCCTGGGAGAAAAACGTCAAAGGGCTTCTTTGCAGTAGGTGCACTTTTTCAAATACTTGGTGTCTCCTGAATTTCGGCCCCTGCTAGAATGTGATGCCCATAAGAAGCGTACTAGTCCAGATTTATAACAGAAATACTTTCCCCCTGGGTACATCAGTTTACTCTGGATGGCTGTGGATTTTATACAGTTTGAAAATAGAGGTCGCTATGTGAGTCATCATTTTTTCTTAGATGTGTGATTCTGTTACACTATTGCCATTGGGATTACATGACAGATATGTAAAAAACAAAAACAAAAAAACTTTATTGTATTGGCAGTGTGAGATTTCTTCTAAAAAAAATTGCAACTGGTGAAAATTGTTTCCTTTTTTAAAGTTGGAAAGCCACTCTTAATTTTAAAGCATGTGCTGTTATATTTACCTATAATTAAAAATACAGACTGACTTTGGTTGGATGTGAAAATGCTTCTCCTGACATAATTCTTTTTTTTTTTAATTTTTAAAGTTTATTTTTATTTACATTCAGAAACATTTGCTCTTATGTACAGTTTGATGAGTTTGGCAATGAACATAGTCATGCGGCCACTACAAGACACAGAATTGTGTCATCACTACCCCCCCAAATTCCTCTCATGCTCCCTCCTTTGTAATCAAACCTCCTGCCTCACACACGTAACCCCTGGGAGCCGCTGACCTGCTCTCCCTCCCTATACTTTTGCCATCTCCAGGGTGCATTGACATATTCTTAATTAGATGCCATCCTTCTGGATCTTGAAAAACCATGGCAATGGAAATAAACCCAAAATAGGGGCTAAAATCAGATATACTGATGGAGTTCCAGAGGAAGTCAGACCAATTCCAAGTGAAAATAGTATAGAGCTACTACTGCCCTAATTCTTATTTCATCTTTACACAAACAAATACAGGCTAAGGGAAATGGTTCTCAAAGTGTGGTCCCCAGACCAGCAGCATCAGTGTCCCCTGAGAACTTGTGAGAAATGGGGATTCTTGGGCTCCACTCTAGTGCTAGTGAATCAGCAAGTCTGGGGCTGGGGCCCTGCAATCTGTGCTTTGACAAGTCTGCAGGTGATTCTGATACACGTTCTTATTTGGATCCCACTGAGGACCTTTTTTTAAAAACAAGTAATGCCTGGGCCAGCCCGGTGGCGCACTAGAGAGTGTGCCGCTTGGGAGTGCGGCGGCGCTCCCGCCGAGGGTTCGGATCCCATATGGAGACCGGTTCCCGCTCACTGGCTGAGCGCGGTGCGGGCGCGACACCGAGGGTTGTGATCCCATTGCTGGTCAGTAAAAAAAAAGACAAAAAGGAAAGAAAAAAAAAAAAACAAAAACAAGTAATGCCACAAAAATGTGTACTGCCTGTTAATACAGAGAAAACTTCTAAATCTTTCTTTTTGTTTCTTAACTTCTAAATGATTTGAGAAAAAGGTTTTTCTTCCACTGTTTAAGTTCTTTATATCTCTTTTTTTCCTCCATTTGTTCCTGTGGCAGTAAAAGCAGAAATGGATTTATGCTTCCCGTTATGATATATAATAAGTATTTTTTTATGGCAGCTCCCTATAACAATCTCAGTCTCTCATATCCCTGAGCCACCTCTATTCCCCGATACAAGTAAAACCAAAAACCAACCAACCAAACATACAAAACCCATGTATATGAAGAAGGTTATGTAAGTTCTTGCTTGTGTTATGTAATATTTTGACTGTAATAAAGTGACATTTTTAGATAATCTTTGTGGGGAAGTAAATTCTCCAGCCCAATTCTCAAGTTGGATTTATTAGGAAAGTTCTTCATTACTGAAGAGACTTCATATAATTTATAATAATAAACATTATAATTTATCAAAATAATTTAATCATCATTGGAAATATTCTAGGCCTGTCTTTTAAATGGTTCCACGCACTAACGTTTAGCATTCCTATTCTTTGTGCGTGAAGCACTGATCAGATTCATTTTTAAAAAATGTATTGATTACTGACTTTGTGCACTTGCAAGGTATTTGAAGCATCTGGGAACATTACTTGGAAATTTGAAGGGAATTTTTGTTTTGTTTTGTTTTGGGGGTTGGCCATAGGGGGATCCAAATTTGTGACTTTGGTGTTACAAGGCTGCGCTCTAATCAGGAATTTTTGTTTTGAATGTCAAAAAACCAAATTCATGTATATTAGGAGTAAGTAGGAAAATTCCCACGAAGTTTTGCTCTCAAACCTGAGACTTCAAAGAAATGTCCAGCTTCTAAATATTACTTAGTATTATGATGATTATTTGTTTTTGCTGCATAAAGCAGAAACTTAGCACAGAGACCCATCTGTTGTTTCTGTAAGTACCATCTGGTGTTGTCTTATTGCATTTGAGCTGCTATAACAAAATACCATAAACCGAGTGGCTTATAAACAACAGAAATTTATTTCTCACAGTTCCGAAAGCTGAGAAGTCCAAGATCAACGTGACATTGATGTATAAGGGCAATATGCTTTTAAAGGCCGAATTGTATGAGAGTTAAAAGTGCTTTTGAATGAGAAGAGAGACTTGAGGGGGGACGTGGGAACAACTTGGAGGAACAGAAGGGAAAAGGAAGGGCGTTTTGGGGGAGGGAACAGCATCAGCAAAGGCTGAGAGGCAGGGAAGAGGTGAAGTGCTGTGGGAAAGTGAGGGACGACCCTGCCTGTTGGATGGGAGAGAACAGAGAGAAATAGGGGCCCATATATACAGCCATGCATGGAACACTGTGCAGGTCACAGAGAGGAGTTGAGGCCTGGTCATGGACAGGCCATTAAAAGTTTTAAGCAGGGTACCCCTTGTTATCTATACTTCGTTCCTCTTCAGGACGATCTGTTCCTATTTTTGTGTGAAATGTTTACAAAGATTTAAATATAAAGCACATTTATTTAGCCATTTATTGAATTGCTTTTACTAACAAGATTACTTATTTGAGACTGGGATTTTTCTGGAAAATGAGGAATATACACTTCCTGTATTAAGCATATCAAAAGATGGAATTCCAGGTCATGAAATATGTACAAAAAGTTCAGAAAAAGAACAGCACCCACTGGCTTTGATGTAATTGAGTTTATTTTGAGGGAACTTTTGGGAGAAAGATACAGTTGCTATAAATATGGAACTTTTTCCCGTCTAGGTGGTGTTTACTAGTGATCCTCACAACAGCTACCTCCCCGTGCAGTTCCAGTCGCCCAGTAAAGCAGAAACTCAGCGCGGAGACCCGTCTGTTATTTCTGTAAGTACCATCTGGGGTTGTCTTATTCCGTTCTGGCTGCCATAATGGAATACCATAGACTGGGTGGCTTCTAAACACCAGAAATTTATTTCTCACAGTTCTGGAGGCTGGGAAGTCCAAGATCAAGATGCAGGCAGATTTGGCATCTGGCGAGGGCCACCTTTCTGGTTTGTAGATGGCACCTTCTAGCTGTGTCCTCACATGGTGAAAGGGTTGAGGGGTGTCTCTGGGACCTCTTTTATAAGGGCACTAATCCCATTCATGAGGGCTACACCCTCATGTCCTAATCACTTTCCAAAGGCCTCACCTCGTAATATCACCTTGGTGATTAGGATTTCAACATATGAAGTTTGGGAGAGATGCAAATTTTCAGACCATAGCACATGGGTACACTGCTGCGGCTTCTTGCTTTTATCTGTGTTTTTCTGGCAGTAGTCACTGGTTTGTAATCACATTTCAATTATTGGTGGCAAGCAGCATAATAGAGGTGTAAATATCTTCCAAACGTTTGTGTTTTTAAGTAAATTATTCTTACTAATTTTTTTTTTCTGATTAGATTGTGTTTACTGATTACTTTTAGGCTAATGTTAAAATTTGTTCATATTACTTTTCACTCACTAAGAGGCAACTCATTTCATTTCTATAAAAGGAAAGACATTTCAGTTAAACATAATTGCCGCAGGCAACTAATATGTAGAAAACTGTGTTTAGCCTTGTTATTTGAAACTTAAAATAAGCTTCCAAGTTGGAAGGGAAATGAAGGTTTTAAAATCTCTTTCACCTTTTAAGATTGCTTATCTCTTATTTTTTCAGATAAGGAAAGTGAAGATCCAAAATGTTAGTTGTCTTTTCTAAATGGTTAAAGGAAATATAGACATGAGTCTGCATGTTAATATTAGAATTTGGGCTTAGAGCCAAGTTAGCCACTGGGAACCAGGTCTTGGCATGTGGCCTGTCCAAAACTGGATTAACCTGGGTGTCACCCTATAGAGTTCTTTGGGTAACAGATATGCAGCCATCCAACCCAGCTGCACCCAGACTCATAAGGTCTCTTTAGGGGCTCAGTTTTTTTCAGTGGTGGGCAATGTAATCACAAATTTATATACACCTGGCCCTCTATATTTGTGGGTTCCATATCCATGGATTCAACTAACTGCAGATTGAAAATATTTGAAAAATAAAAAAATAAAAACAATACAACAATAAATAATAATACAAATAAAACACTACAGTATAACAACTGTTTATGTAGCATTTGCATTATATTAGGTATTATAAGTAATCTAGAGTTGATTTAAAATGTATGGGAAGATGTGTGTAAGTTATATGCATATACTATGCAATAGTATATAAGGGACTTGAGCATTACAGATTTTGGTATCCTTCGTGGGAGGAGAAGGTGTTTCTGGAAACAATCCCCTGCAGATACTGAGGGATGACTGTATGTATTAGTACATTTTGTGTTGCTATAACAGAAATACCTGAGACCGGGTAATTTATAAAGAACAGAGGTTTATTTGGCTTACGATCTGAGATAGTTGCATCTGTCACGGGCCTCAGGCTGCTTCTGCTCATGGAGGAAAGTGGCAGGGAGCTGGTGGGTACAAGCAGATCACATGGTGAGAGGAAGCAAGAAAGAGGGAGAGAGAGAGAGAGAGAGAGAGGAGAGAGAGGAGGTGCCAGGGTCCTTTAAACAACCAGCTCTCGTGGGAACTAATAGAGCAAGAACTCACTCACTACCCCTCCTCCCTCAGGGAGAGCATTAATCCATTCATGAGGGATCTGCCCCCATGACTCAGTCAGTTTCCAACACTGCCACATTGGAGATCAAATTTCCACATGAGTTTTGGAGGGGACAACACATCCAAACTCCATCAATGTATATGTGGACAAAATTAAATTTTACTTTTTTTCTTAATTTTTTTTGTAATAAAATACACATAACATAAAATTTACCATCTTAACCATTTTTAAATGTATAGTTCAGTGGTATAAAGTGCATTCATGTTGGTGTGCAACCATCACCACCATTTAGCTCCAGAACTTACATTTTGCTTAACAACCCTGAATTAGGAATATTCCTACTTATAGGTAGCTAAAAAAAATTCCTGAAATCTGTATTTATTCCCCTCTATTAGCGATCCTCCATTTTGTAATATGCTCCTGCTGTAATTTTATTGGCATAAAATTTTTTAGTTCGGCCTCTCAATGCAGTCAGCCACAGGCAGATCCCAGCCTGCTAGTGTGGAATATGGTGAGAGTCGCATGAGGGAAACAGGAGGGTGCTGAGCGCCACTACTCTACAAGCTTATGGGACATTGAAGAATATATTGTTTTTTTTTTTTCCTTTTTGTCTTTTTTTCGTGACCAGCAACGGGATCGCAACCCTTGGTGTTGCGCCCGCACCTCGCTCAGCCAGTGAGCGGCCGGTCTGTATGTGGGATCCGAACCCTCGGCGGGAGCACCGCCGCGCTCCCACGCGGCGCACTGTAGCAGTGCGCCACCGGGCCGGCCCTGAAGAATATATTGTTTGTTCAGGAATAATCTCAAGCAGGCTACGCTTCAGGGTCTGAAGACATTGTTTGATTCTAGTGCTACACATTGGGTACCTGGGACCCCAGAAAAGTCATAGAACACCATATTTTGTTATATTTATTTCCAATGCTTTTCCATGTATTGCCTGAAAATTCTTTCCTAGGATATGGCATTAATTTTTATGGAAAGTTGTGTGTTAATTTAAGCAACAAGTTTGGGGGGGGGTACTTTTTACAAAGACAGTTTGTGTTGAGGATCATTTTATATTGTTTCTTAAATGGACCTTGATTTTAAATATTCAGATTTTTAAAAACAAGGGAATTACTTCTAGTCTTTTTACATGTAAAATTTACCTCAAGCACTTCCAGTACTACTAACTGGATTAGAACAGTGTAAACGGCTAAAAAACCATTTTGAATTCTGGTGAAATTGTTACTGGAAGAGAGGGTCTGGGGAGGTTTGATGTCGGACCTGGACCCTGACCTCTACCAGGTTCTTGACTGCACCACAGGAAAGAATTCAAGAGCAGTGTCAGAGTTGAAAGCAAAAACAGGTTTTACACAAAGAGAAAGAAATACACACTTCACAGACAAATTGCAGGCTGGCTTGAGACTGAGCAGCAGCCCTGCCTTCTTACTGGATTCTGATTTTATAGTTGGCTATTCTATACATATTCATGCTTTCTAATGAATATTTAACTAAGAGAGTGGTTCCTAGTTGTGTGACTGGTTATGTAACCTAGCCTTGCACATGCTCTGTTGTCTCTTTGGAGCATGCTCATTGGTCAGTTCCAACATATACACTGAAAGTTATTTGAAATGTATTTGATGCTCCTTAGTGCCTCCAATGGAAGGCCATTCAAGGATAAACTCCTTTCTACTGAGCATGCTCAGCGACTGAAATTACATATTTCTGCCTCTGGTGGTCTCAATCTCCCATGCTGGTGCTGAAGATAGATGCTACATGCAATAGTGACTCAAGGCCTAGAGGAGGGGCTTGAGTCCTAGGGGAGTGGTCTGAAACCCAATCCCAGGGACACTGAGAACCTCCTATCTTAAGATCAATCATGATTGCAAATAAAATGTAAATATCATAATTCCCCCAAGCAAGGACAGGTTTAACGGTGAGAATATTTTTCCTTTGTTAGCCTTTATTGCAGTTTGTAATTTTACACCTTATAAACAGATATGGTGCCTATGGATTAAGTTAGTGTTAAGTTTAGTCAGTTGTTTTGTCAAGTTTTCTCCTTTTGGCTCAGAAATTTAATGATATTTGGAAATGTCTGGAGTTCCTTTTTCTTGGAAAGGTCACAAACCATTAATTTAAGAGGATTGTATACGGAAATTCAGCTCACAATAATTGTAGCTTAAATCCCAGTAAAATTGTCACTTTGCCATTTTGGTTTCAGAGGAGATCTATATTTGCAGCAAAGGAAATAAAGCAATGAAGCTTCTGTGATATTCCAAACCTAAATTCTAGTGTGTGTGTGTGGGGGGGTTTGAGCTGTCTGAGCTGCAGTACAGAGGTTACCACCTGATTCCTGACTTACAAAGTTTGACCCCGATGAGAGAGTGTGTGTCAGAATGAAGGCATCAAGCACTGCAGAGCCACCCAGCTTAGCTGATCGAGGGCTGCCATGACTTGGTCAGTACTTACCCAGTCAGCAAAGATCAGTCAAGGCAGGGTCTATAGGAATGCAGGCACCATTTCAGACAATGAAAAACAGTAGGTGAAGTGCAGTTTGAATCCTTGAAATATAATTTGTGTCCTGGGTTTTGAAGATAGAGGGAAGGGGATGGAAAGACAAATCATCCTGGAGACATTACCGAAATGATAATGACAGCAGAAGACATTTTTGTATTCTCAGGTCAATGGCACCGACTTTACCTTCCGAAGTGCGGGTGTCCTTCTCCTTATTGTGGATGCGTGCAGTGTTCCGTTCCGCTTGACAGAAAAAAAGCTTTTCCTTCTTGCTGATGTCAGTCGTGTGGAAGAGTATTTAAAAACGGGAATTCCTCCACGGTAAGTCAGGCTTGTTCTGTAACAGGGATAAGCCACCTGAAAGATGTGGAGTCCTCCAAACAGATAACACCTGGTTAATTCTGAGCTTTGGTTTGTCTACCTGATCTTCTCCTCTGGGCATTCAAGGCCTTGTGAAAGGTATTCATTTTTTTCCCACCTCATGTTGATGCTCTGTGGTCTAAGCTGCTTATCACTGACAAGCCATTGCTTATCAATGGTAGAACCTGCATGCTTGAAGATTTTGCACATGGTGGAAAGGCTCGTTATTTGGAACATTACTATCCCATTTTTAGTATTAAGTTGATCTGCTTGATACCTGACTTGCTCAGAAGGCTTATTACCACTTTGAAGTAATTTTCCAGGCATTTTCACCTTTGCAATCATCTGTCCCACAGATGGACTCTTGGACAGCATTGTACTATGGCTGTGATATATAGGAAGTCATCACCTGGGTCACTTGTCAATGACTGGGAAAGAGTAAATTGATTTTTAAGTGGTTGAGTGTCTATACTCTTTTTCAAGAGCACTAGTCTGATTGGCTCTTCTTTGTTGGCCTCTGAAGAAGAGAAACCATTTGTGGGGTTGGTCAGATTCTGCCTGGGGGCAAGGAGATGAATTTAGAGCCCTTTCTGTCCCTTGGCTTTGCCATAGATGTTGGTTTACATGGTGACCTTCTTTCAGTGATGCCATTCACGGAAGAACATAAGCTTCCCAGGGAGTAAAGCCCTGTCTAGCTTGTGAATTATTTTCAGTTGATCTGATCAGTTACGTTCTTTATAGATTACTTTTTAATTTTTTTGGTGGCTGGCTGGTACAGGGATCTGAACCTGTGACCTTGGTGTTACTATCTTTATAGGTTATAGAAACAGATCCCAATAAGTCCGATGAAGTCATTGGTTTTTTGGATATAATATTCAATGTATGTGTATAGTTCTGTCTTCTGATTTAAGACAATTATAGGGGATTCCTTCCTCAGACTTTTTTTTCTGAGAATTTTTTTTTTTAAGGATTTAAAGATTTTTCCTGATGTTGAAAACATATTCACTCACTCACTTCCCTTAAAACAGTCCAGGACATAAATCTTGCCACAAATATTTAGGACAACATGGTAGTCCTGCAAGGTATCCTATAGATTTGAACTAAAAGGAATTCATTAAAAAGTCACTACTTTCTGCAAAGGGGACTGAGAAGGACTTTTGAGAAACTGGTAATGTTCTCTGATCTGAGTGCAGGTTGCACAAATGTGTTTAGTTTGCAGAAATTCAACATGCTGGACACTTAGGAATGCTTTTTTGTACGTACGTTGTATTTTAGCAAAGTATTAAGAAGTTACAGGGCAACTGGCAGTGACTTCGGGGGAGACTGAGCATGTGTGTATATGTGGAGTGACCTTTAAGTGACCTTACGGGACTGTCCTGAGTAATTCTGACCTATTGAAGAAAGTCAGGTTTGCAGATTGCTGTGGTCTGTCCTCTGCACTGATTCTGAATTGAGTCAGCACTGTTTTAGAAAGGCTACAACAAAGAAGCCACACCAATATAAAACTTGGGAATTTTTATTTTCAGAAATGCCAAGACCCATGTTAAGAAAACAAATATATTATTAAAGGATATGTAACAAGAGTTGAATAAAAGGAGAGACTCTCCCTGTTTCTAGATGGGAAAACTAATGTTGTAAAGATGTCACTCTACCTAAACTAAAATATAAATGTAATGCATTTTTGTTAGTGTCCTAATAGGTTACTTTTCTATTGTACTTGGCAATACTGAAAGTTGATAGTGAAATTCATCTGGAAGACTAAATGTGGGAGAGTGGTAAAATATTTTTTAAACAAGTGATAATAATGCAAGGGACTTGCTTTATCAGATATTAAAATAAACCTTGAAGCCATAGTAATTAAGGTAGCATAGTGTTGGCAGCGGAGGCAGAGATCAGAAGAAAAGAATAGAGAATCCACGGATAGATCTGAGTATGTCTGTTGATTCACTGCATGATAAAGATGGCAACTGAAACCAAACCATGGAGAACAGTTTCGGTTTACTTATTTATTTATTTTTTTAGAATTGGTGTTATCCTTTCACTTAATAAGTAGATAATAGAACATAAATAGGTAAATAGAGCATCTGAAACAGAACAAAACCATCCTCCCATGTTATAATAGATTGTTACCTAAAAGAGCTATGTCCCAAACCATCCACTAGGTCAACTTTCCTAAATGACTTTTGGTTTCCTTATGTGTTACCCCATTGTAATAATAGCATGAGATGTTCCACGTGGGGCAGGCGAGTGGGAGCTTTTAACAGCAGAGATGAAAAAGCATCCAGGCCTTTTTCCTTGTTGAGTTCTGCTTTCTGTGGTATTTCTGTACTGCACTCAGTTCAGAAAGGTACTCAGTAAATACATGCTGAATGATTGAAATTGAAATTTTCAAACTTTTACACACAGATCAATTGTTCTGTTGAGCACAAGAGGAGAAATAAAGCAGTTGAATATTTCAGATTCATTAGTACCTCTGGGATTAGCCAAACCAGCTCATCTTGACAACAAAGGTTTGTATATTTGCAATATTCTATGAAGTTCTTATGAGGCCCACAAAATATTCATTTTTATGGTGGACTTTAGTTACCAGACTATTTTCAAGAGCTTGTTTTGCTGGTGTGGGTATCATTAGGATAATTTCGAAATAAGGGGACAGTGTTAGAGGACGTGTGTTGGGATGTGGTTTGTTATTTGGGGCAACAGGTGGGTAGTAAGAGTTCATTTGCGGGTGGAAGGAAGTGCAGGTTTTTTTTAATAACTGTCTTTGTTCTGCTTACCTGTGACTTACCTTCAGCATTATCTTGCTGGAACTAGTAGCTGTACAAATGGAATTCTTTTCATTACTATTATTATTATTATTATTTATTTTTTATTTTTAGGGAGTACCATATTTTTGGGATTCAGCGGAAACTTTAAACCATCGTGGACTAAGCTATTTACCAGTCTTGCTGGACAGGGCCTCGGGGTGCTTGAACAATTCATACCTTTGCAGCTGGACGAATATGGTTGTCCCAGAGCCGGCAGTGTCCGCAGAAGAGACCTGGAACTGTTAAAGCAAGCTTCAAAAGCACACTAGAGACTAACTGTAACTTAAGTGCTGGGGAAAGAAAATGTGAACTAACTTATTTAATTTATGGCATTTTAAAATGACACTGTTAACCCAACGGAACCATTTTCCTGTTTGATACAAAAGGGGGAGAAAAGAAAGAATTTAAAGTGATTGCTTGAATAGCAGCTCACGCACCTTCTAGTAGTACAAAATGTTAAAGAGTTTATTTGTATTGGTAAGGCTGATGCATTCAGAGAACAGTTTTCTTATTCCTCACCTTCCACCCCAGTGGTTTGTAATGACCACAAGCATTTCACTTGTATGATGCAGCATAGTGGGGTGGGGGCTTCTGAGAGTCAGCCTGGGGTCTTTAGAGGACCAGCTATTGTAGCACCTTGGATACTTGAATTCTAATGTCCAGTTGTGTCGTGCAGCAGTTGACCGGGTGGCTGGCATGTTCAGCAATGCCTGGGGCCCTGTTTCTGGGCAGCCTTTGAGGGTTTCATGTGATTCTGAATGACAGAGTTTTAAGTGGCAACTCAGGCCCAGCTCATGCCCTTTTTTGCCTGGACATGTGCTATTTTTACTTATTTGTATACTGATTACTTCTAAGGGTTCAACTTTCAAACAGGAAGTATGTTGGGACAGAAGGGCTTTTAGGGATTAGAAATCCCTTTAATCTGTGACTATTGGGCAGAAATTTGATCTGCACCAAGGTCTGAGGTTGTTGGGACCATTTTTGCAGCTTTAATCCTTAGCCTGTTTTGACTGTATATTTGTGTTTTAAATGCAGAGCTAAGCTATTTACATTTTTTTTTTAAAAAACAGGCCATTTTCCTGAATTGTAATCTTGTGTCGTTTTAACTTGCACAAAGGAAGTCTGTTCTTGGTGTTGCTCTTGCAGCTGGGGGGTTTTTTTTTTTTTTTTTTTTTTTTTTTTTTTTGTGTGTGTGTGTGTGTGTGTGGATTTTTTTTTAAAGGTTTTCTGCTCACCATCCTGCTAGGAAAATCCCAGAAAGCTTAATGATATCACAGAATGATTGTACCCAGGTGGGAAAAAAAAGAGAGGGGATTTAAGGGCTAGAATCATGGAGGGGATATTTAGAAATGAACTTCTTTATAGCCTTTTAGGAGTGAGTCACTCTTAATTAATTAAATTGTGAAAGCCTATTAAAAAGGGCGCCAGGATGCCCGATTTCCCTTTGCACTGGGTGCATGCGTTTCCTGCCAGTGAGGACTTATGTGGCAAATGGAGATTGGCTCCCCAGCCTGGGATGTCGCCACGCCAAGAGGAAAGAATCATTACCATGCCCTTATGTTTTTGTAAACCCACAACATGTGAAGTATAGAGGAGGCGTGGCCAAGAGGCGGTGGTAGGTGGTGCATCCGACTGACATTGGCAATGAGCACAGACAGATTCACTCCCCTCTGCCAAGGGCAAAGCCTGATGGCCTGTACCTTCTGTTCCTTTGTGTCCAGGAGAAACTGCAGAGCAGCTCTGGGACTTCTGTTACTTTACAAAACATGCTACCTCAAAGTGCTCCCAATAAACCTTTCTAACTGTAGGTGCTCTTGCTAAGGGCACGTGTCTTCATGAAAGTTTAGTTTTTTGTTTTTCGGCGTGGTTTTTTTGTGTATTGATGAATGAGATCTTACCCATTAAATATATTATTGGATCATGGTTCCTGAAGGTGATTAAAGTTTGTGTGTATGTGTTTTTATGACTTAAATATCTTTTATGTGTGTTTTTTAGAGTCTGGTTCTCTAAAGATTTGGAGAGGATATGTAAGTTCTAAGGCACTCAGTTTTTCTGATTTATATATTAATAATCAGGGCCTAAGTTAAAATTTAAGTACAAATATGTGTGCATGTATTTTATATGTGTGTATGTATCTATATATTTATAATTTTTTTAAATTCCGGATTCTCGCTGTAAAGAAGTTATTGGCAGAAATGAGGAGGGGAAACTGTCCACTAAGTAGATTTTGTAAGACTAAGTTTCAGAAGGGCACGAACCATATTTTCCACTGCAGAGGTTTTCAACTTTGGCTGCACATTGGAATCACCTGGGGAGCTTTAAAAACCGTAGAGGCTTGGGCCCCATCCCCTACCCACAGATTCAGATTTAATTGGTGTGGGGTGCAGCCTGGGCATTGGAATTTTTTTAAAGCTCCCTGGGTGATTCTAACATGCAGCCAGTTTTCAGAACTACTGCACTCATATAATAGGCCCACTGTTTAACTTCAGTCTATAATTTTTTTGTGACTAAAAATTGCATTTCTCTATTATTTTTGAGATTCCTTATTATTCACAGAACTCCCAGCCCTAAAACAAAGCATTTCTCTATTGTCTCTTCTTAACATAAGTTTTTAATACAGTTTTTTTTGTCCTTAATCCTCTCAAATTGTAAAATTGGTCCTCTAAGCTAATATACACATTTCAGGTAATTGGGAGCTGGCAATCTGTCTTTTTCTACCAAGAAAATAAACTCAGAGGTGATTTATAAGTTTCTAAGCATTTTTCATCACATTGGGCAATTGCTTGAGCTCCAGAAATGTGGCCATCCACCAATAGGCTGGCTGATGAGAAACGCAGAGGCTCTCCTGGTGACAGGTTGGGGCGGTGGGAGAACGGTTTAAGTCTTTGCTGTGAGATTCCTGCCTCGCCACCTGGGCCAGCATGCCATATATTATCTCCAGAGCTGGAAGAGTGTGCTTGTGAGAAGATGAAGGGCAGACCCACAGTCTCAGGGAACACGACTCCAAAGCAGCCACTAAGCTGATGTTTAGATTCGGGGGTGGGCAGGGGGGATTTATGGCTTCTCTTTCCCTAACTTGATCAACAGAGACACATCCTCATGCCATTAAGCAGGTTACTTTGTTTTGAGAGGGGTGGGCAATGAGGTGACAGATGGAGGCGTGAATGCCTCAGATACCTAGGTTTCCATTCCCTAAGAGAGGAGGTGATGTTTGGATGAACTCAGCTGAAAGGCGTTTCAATACGAAGGAATGCTCTTAGTCAATTCCGTTTTGTTTTCTTGTTTTTTTTCTGTTGTGCCTAGTTGGTAAGTACATCAATTCCATTATGACAAAGTTTGCTGATGGTGTGAGGCACAGTTGGAGCTTACCCTTCAGAATTCTCGTTAGGCTTGCAGATACTTATTAAACAATGTTTAATAACTTGAGAAATTCCCCTGGAGGTGAAGACCTTTAATAAGGTAATGGATTTGTATCATTACTGTTAGTCTTACTTGGTAATAACCCAGTCTGCTAGAAATGTGAGCAGACTCTCTGGGCTGGAGCTAATTTTCAACAAAAGGTCAGTGAGAAAAAAATCAAGGAAAGCCATCCGCATTTCTGCACTCACTAATGACAAAATGCCATTCATGTCTTACTGGACCATTAAAATCATTTGGAAGATAGAGCCTTTTTCATCTTATCTTCAGTGTGAGAAAGAAGCCAATAAAAGAGCTTAATTAGGCCCTTGTGTTGTGGATAAGGGCATGTATATTTTTTATGTGATAAACTTAGAGAATGACTGAATTGTGATTTCTAAACAAGGAACTATGCCCCACAGGCCATCCAAAAATATCAGCCAGAGCAAGTGTATTAGTCCATTTCTGTTGCTTATAACAAAATACACTGACCTGGGTATTTTATAAAGAAAACAAAATTTATTGTTTACAGTTTCTGAGGCTGGTAAGTCAAAAGTCCAGGGAACACATCTGGTGAGGGTCTCTCGGTGGTGGCGACAGTGACCCAGGGGTCTTACATGGCAGAAAATGGAGCAAAGAGAAGATTGTTCCTCATGCGCTCTCCTTTTAAAGCCCTCAGAACCCCATTATTAATCCATTCACGAGGACATGGTCCTGCAATCTAATCACCTCCCCAAGGCCCCACCTTTCAATTACCATAATAGGATTTCCCACTCTCCCCACAATCACAGTGGGGGCCAAGTTTTTAATACATAAAACTTGGCTGACACAATTCAAGCTTCAGTGAGTTTTGGTGGGGACATTCAATCCACGATAGCAATCTTTGAAAATGTCATATGTGAAGATACAACAAAGTGTGGGTCAGAAAACATCTTTATAGTTGCATTTTTGTAATCTTCCTAAGATGGGCAAAATGATTGGTTTGGATATGAAAAGCTATAGATTTAAAATTCATCCTCAGAAAAGTTTAGATGTCGTGATAGTAACTGGTTGACTGGGGTTGGCAAACTATGACTTGTAGGCCCCTTGCCTACAGTTTTTGAGCTGACAATGGTTTTTATATTTTTCAATATAACATGTTGGAAAA